ATTCAAGTTTCCACTTGACCGTTCGGAAGAGAGCATGAGAAAGCAAATAATCATGAGTCAGGATAAGGAAAAACAATGTGTTACATGAGGCAAAAGTTCTTGTAATCTATTTATAATTGGCTGGAGATTGTCGTTATCTACAACGACTGGGACATCACAATCTTCTTCATCAGCATTCACTACAGTGTGTATTAGTTTCGGGAATAATTGTTTGTGAATAGATTTTGTGGGTGTATTAACCTTTTTTGAGGCTTTGTGAGAGGGCTTTTTGTACTGTCTGTTGGTATGTGTAATACTTTATCATTGTCTCTGAATTCAATATTGTCCACATCACAGGTTACATTCTTGCCGAATATGTTAAACATTCTCTTTTTGTACTTTATCTTATTTTCAACTTTGAGAGGTATCAACATTGACATGTGCTCATTTGGATGACTGAAAATTACACTCTGTGTATTGGCCAAGGAAATGTTGATATGCAATAGGTGCAGCATAGTTTTTTTCCTGAGAGAAAACAAAATATTATATTTCAATCACAAATTATCCGTTACCGCTGATAAAGACTCTGTGACATTTATGAAATATTATTTGACTTACAAATACATTTATGTGATACAATTTTACCGGGTTAATTGCAAGATATTAACAGGTTTTTTTATTTTTCTAATGGTGTGTGCTATTATTTCTGTTGATGGACACATATTTCTTATCAAAATGACTTTGACTACATACTGTGATAAAATTATATCTATGCTATATCTTGACGTGCCCCCGAGAATTACAATTGTATAAGATAAGATAACATATTATGGGGTGATGTGGAAAATTATAGCCTAAAATACCAGAAAGTAAATCTATAGTTACCATTTCGCCTTGTCAAAACTCATCTCACTGCAAATACTCTGTATCATAATGTAAAGACTTTGTTACAAATCACAAAGACTCCGTTACAAATCACAAAGACTCTGTGACATAACGCAAAGTTTCCATCGTAAAAATCACAAAGACTTCACTCTCACTGTTACCAAGTTCCCTAGCAGTGAGCTATATAGCAAGAGTCAGGATAAGGAAAAATATTGTTTTAACAGAAAGAAGGAAATTTTTCAATGCCCCGATGATAATTATGTTCAGAATCAGAAATTAAGCCAGTAACAGCGGCCTCATCTGCGAATTCCACAGTAACCACATCATTTAATGACAAGTAACAGTCACTGGTACACAAAATGAAGAGTAAGGGTGAAAGAACACAGCCCTATAGAGCAGGTAGAAGATTGATAGCCATTGAAACTGACTGAGTTCTATGTACCATGAATTCTTTAACCCATCTGATAATGTTTTTACTAACACCTAGATTAAATAGTTTACTCCTGAAAAGGTGTGGCTGTATGGTATTGAAGGTGGAAGTCTGCAGATGAGAGTAAATATTATACATCATTTGAGATTTCACTTCTTAAAATTATTAGGTAACTATCTTGACAAGTGATAGACATGGAGAAAGATAAAAAGATCAACTGTATGGGCTTATTTTGATCTGGATAGTGAAAAGATAAAAAACAACAAATGTCGTCTGTGCGGTATATCACTGCGTTATGCAGGGAGTATATAACCAGTACGATGAAAAAGCATTTGTCATGTAAACATCCACATACTGATTCTGACCAATAGGAAATGTAAGTCACATGACGATATCAAGTCGGAATGAAGAAAGTGTTAACTTGAATGATTGGAGCACATGTCATGCCTTAAACTGTAATATATGTGTATTACTAAGTTACCAACTTGAATATTGATCTAACAATCATCGCTTTTTGTTATGTCATGCCAGTTACGCTATCGTTTGCTTGAAAGGTATGAATTTCGAGTACTCAGGTCCGAGTCGAGTCTAACCCCTCGAGTACTCGAGTCCAAGAAAATGGACTCGCTGAAGCCCTAGATACCAAAGATCACTTTTGATGCCCTAAGAGATGGAATGTAAAGAGCTTGGATGCAGAAGATCAGTTGCTGTAATAACAGTGTTGTTTCGGGTAGCACCAGAGGGCAAGTTGACCACAGCAGCGAAACAGCTTTTTGCTGTCCAAAAGAACATGACGAAAGAGCTGGAGCCCTAACAGGAGCTGGAGATGGCTATAACTATAGCATCTAGGTCCCCTACTCTTGGATCCAGGATCAGAGTCACAAAACTGAGGCCTTGGACACAAGACATCTTGTTGCCATACCATAGAATTGATGAATGTTTCAATGTATGATCTACAGTAATCGCCGCTAGAATTTCAGGTCATTGATGTGGAGATTCCTGTCTTCGAACTACTGCCCTGACACTTAAAGTCTCGCAGAAGAGTGCCCCTACCTCGCTTTGACATGTTCATGAAGAGATGTGGTGAGTGAATAGAGACAAAGGAACTGTGTCACCAAGTGGATGGACATCCTTGTGTCATGGAGGAACTATCATGGGAAGACTTCAAGTAGCCCTGCTTTGTTAGAACCAGAGTGGATGTCAGAAGATCTTATGTCAGAACAACCTTGCTTGCTGTAGGGAGAGCAGGAGGGATCTTCTTGATCTTGTCCACCTTATCCTGAGGGACAAATGTTCTGCTATGGCATGTGTTGAAAATTGTTCCAGTGAAGTGGAGATGCTAAGAGGAGATTTGAAGATGATTCCCCCTGTAATGAAGAAACAGTGTGCAGGTAAACAGCCACGGACATGCTAATACTTGGAGCTCCAAGGTGACCATGAAGTCATGACTGTTGCTGATAGTATGCCATAATGTCATTTGAAGCCATGTCTCCTCACTTCCTCTGTCCTAAACGGATTTAAAAGGTGTTACCGTGAAGTGATTGTCCTAAATGGAAGAATAAAGAATTTCATTAAATCCCAAATCAAGACCTAGTGTATTCCATAACTGAGAACTGTCTATAGACCATCGACTCACATTAGAATCTAAATGCATCCATAAACTTTACTCTTCCTACTGTCCATGTCAAATGATTAATCTGTAAACAGCAAACCAAAATTATGGAAACTGAAAAAATATCTCTGGAAAACTATGTGTCTTCACTAAGTAGTGGTAAGGAAAAGAATGCATATTGTAAAGACATGGGGGATCACCCAGAGCATGCTGCACGCTTGTGGAAGGGCCCAATATGAATTGACTGTGTTTGGGTGAGGTGTTATGAGGCTGGGAACATAAAGGACACTGGTTTAATTTCATATCCACTTAGCATCAAATACTTCACAGAAATGAAATATGTGCGACAGAATAAGTTTAAGAAAAAAATTTGATTAATGTATCGGCAGTTTGTTTTACAACATGCAGATGACACGTGTTGTCCAAATAAACATCAATACTAGGGATCACTCTAAGAATGAGAACAGATGACAACTTTAATTACATGTTATATGTTTATAGTGTAACAGACCTTACCAGTATAATCATGTAGAGGTGGCAGGTCATCAAATGTATATATACTACTCAAAAGAAGTTAAGGGTCAAACGAAATGTGCACATCAAATTTAGAATAGGCAATTTTGAGACTATTAGGACAGGAAACTTTCTGTATGGGTGTTATTTGGACTGAAGACATCATAAGGTTTGGAGAAATGTTATCATTACCCGTTCCCTTAGGTAACTGTCAAATTTAACAGTAAATTCGGACTTCTTGATTTGAACCATGAACTCGGCCACACTAAACTGACCTCGTCCTCGAAACAACCATTATGCCACCTAATGCACACTTTACACGTGCTGTCCATGGATGTCATTTTATGAATGCAAATTTTCACAATAAAAAGACCAAGCATTTTCAAATCGGCCTCATTTGAAATTTGAAGATGGTCAGACGACAGCTCAGCATCCAAGACAGAGGAAGGGCAATAGGTTGGCTTCAAGATGGTCAGACTCAAAGAAGTGTTGCTAGGCGACTAAATGTAAGCCAGAGTGTTATTGGGAGACTTTGGCAGAGGTTCAGGACAACAAATGCTGTCCAGAATCGGTCCGTTCCGGAAGACCTCGATCAACAACAGCTCGATGATCGCTACTTGATGATGGTGGCTTTGCAACAGCGATTTGTGAACCCAAGACATCTTTGGGTTCAGCTGAGAGCTGGCCGGGGCACCAACGTATCCGATCAGACAGTTCGAAATCGTCTACATGTCCGAGGTTTGTGTTTTCGACGTCCTGCAGTCCGACCACCACTACTTGAGCGGCACAGAAGAGCTCGCTGAGATTGGTGCCGACGGCATGTTCGTTGGAACCGTGGCCAGTGGGCACAGACAATCTTTTCTGATGAATCCCGCTTCACACTTGATGGTTGTGCCCGTGTTTATCGTCGTCAACGAGAGAGGTATGCTGACTTAAACGTTGCCCAACGTTTACCTTTCGGAGGCTGAAGTGTGATGGTCTGGGCGGGTGTCTCAGTGCACCACAGAACTGCTCTCTACATCGTCAATGGGAATTTGACTGGTCTTCGATATCTCAACGAGATTATCCAACCTCTGGTAATGCCACTTCTTTGTCAACTTGGACCAGGGGCCTGGTTCCAGGATGACAACGCTTGACCCCATCGTGCCAGGGTGGTGACAGACTTTCTGCAACAGCAGAACGTTCAGCACATGGTGTGGCCTGCTTATTCACCCGACCTTTCACCAATTCAGCATGCCTGGGATGCGTTAGGACAAAGAATTCGAGCTTATCACGTCCCTGCCATCAACCTCCAGGAACTGGGTCGACTTATACTTATATTCCAAAATACTTGTGACCCTTAACTTCTTTTGAGGAATATATATGTGCATGAAGTCTTACTGCTTCATGCATACAGTACAAAAATATACAGCAAGTGGGATACTTCAATGATATTTTCATCTTCTAACTGTATGTTGTGCTTATTAACCACACATTAACCATTAAGACACACATGGCCGTGTCACATTTCACCATGTTATCGGATTCCCATTTTAACCTGGAATCTTAACTGTGAAACTGTCTTCTAGCTGCCCAACTCACCCTGGTGTTGATGGTAGGAATGGCTGTTTGTTCAAATGACTGCAGATCCACAGAATACTGGCCCACTCGGTACTCTCTTCTGCGGCCAGAAAATGTGTCACACTGCTCACTGCAAGTTCATTTTATGCTGTTTGATATCAAAGTATCAGAAATGACAGTAGTTTTTCACTAAAGTAGTTTCAGAAACTGAAAATGAATGTTTTTAGGCTGTTACTCTGTACCCCTAAAATTTACACAACTGCAAATAGCATATGTTGAAGCAGGATGTCTGCAACCCCCATCCTAGTTTTGCTTATGAGACGACCCCCCTCCAATCTGTTTGTTTGAGACTACCTAGCTAGCTACACCCTTAATAGTTTCAGTATTAAAGTTATTATTTTGTACGTCAGCTATCATTTATAATGAAGCTAAGTCTAATTTCAAAATGGGCATTTAAAAAGTGTCCTTTGTAATACAATATCATCGCACACTAATTTGCATAAAGCCATGGTCTGTTCCAAATAAGTTGCTTTGGACTTAGAAAACAACCCACATTGCTCATTTCTGCACTAATCTCTCCTCAGTAAAGTCCTTATTTTACGTTTCCTATCTCCCTACCACTGAGACTGTAGTTAGGCCGAACCTAGTTTAACAGGTATTTCACACTTTCACATATTAACTACATAAATTGTCGATATATATGTGAAAAAAGAAGAAGTTTTTTTTTTCTATTTCCAACAGTACTTTATTATTGTAATTCATATAATTGCAAGCCAATTCAAAAGCAAACACACAAAATGTATGATTATCTATCTCTAGGGCTAGCACTTCAGAGCCCTACACTAATCCCGTGATTCTGGTGATTGATATATATTTTTACGTCCCTTCCTAACAGTAGCGTAACAACCTACCTGACTCGGGCAAGGGGTCCTCTTGTACCATGTAACGGAACTACATCAAAACCAGTTCTCTTGCCATTAACGCGCACCTCTTCTGTGTAGAAGCCTTGAGTAGCAAGTCCTGCCTCAGTTAAAGATTTACAGGCCTTGTGAATTAAGGTGGTCTTGCCGATCCCTGTGAAGTAGCAACGCCAAATGAACAACACAGTGCTTGAACTATGTAAACTCCACACCTCAGACACCAATTCTTATATTCAGCCTATTTTGTTGCAAGTAATTTTTGCATCTAAATCAGTTTCTTCTATTGCTCTAGTATTTTAAGTCATTAGGATAGTAGTTTTGTAACTTATATCTTGCAGGCTTTTGGATTAGTCTACTTATAAATCAAATGGGGTTGGGTTAGTTCATGTTCTTGTCACTGTGTCCTGTTTCTTCTAACCATAACCTGTTTTGATTGGTTTGTATAAACTGTGCACTTTCATCTATCTATCAACACCACTTTTAGATGTCAGCTGATGATGTAACAGAGATCTGTACACATTAAGGTTAGCAATATATACAATAGCTAGCTTATATTTCAGCATTTGTATAATGATATATGTAGTCTATGCTATGTTTAATGACATTTAAGCACCATGAATATATTTTATCTTCGGTATGGTGAACATGTCATAGCTCTCATTTCAATAAGGCCAAGTAAACATCTTAAAATCATTCGTCTATCTTTCTGTGCGAATGTTTATTAAGTGAATGCATAACTTTAATAATTCTGTTACTATGAAAATCTCTGTACAGGAAAACACTGACAACCAACACAGACTGTCAGTATGTCAGGTGACTGCCCTTAGAGAACCAATACCCCAGTGTCACCCAGAGGGTATGTATGATTAATCTGCATGTTTGTCATATTTCTCTGTATATATATTGTAAACGTAGTAGTGGCGGAAACACACTGCTACTGGGGTGTGAGCCGACAGCTGTTTCTCTTTATTTGATGTAAATACTAAAGTACTGTCGGAATTAATTAGGTTGTTACTCTGTATCCCTAAAAGTTACACATTTACAAATAGCATGTCGAAATAACCCACTTCGGCCTAACTTGGCGTTCAGTGGGATGCGTTATAGGATATCCAGAAAAGCATTTTACTCGTAAAATCGGGCAAATCTTCGAACTACATTGTATTTCAAACACAAGCACGCACCCACTCACACACGCTATATATGTGTGTCGTGCGATAAATTTCGAGTCTGCTATTCACCTTCTTTCGATAAATTCTTTCATGACTTTGACAGAATGGACACTGCAATACGTCTCAGAATGTTCTAAGATTATGGCATGTCAGTTATCATTTTTAGTTCATTCGGGCTTCTTCTACCTGGTGTGCCTGTCAAAAATATATGTCTTGCCGTGGTTCCTGAAACTGCCATAGTTCACAGCTACTACAGTCACCTGTCACTGACTACCGGAGCCACGTGCATAAGTGAAAACAAACTGTCTCATGTGCACGCACGTATAAGGAAAGATAACTCTGTGTTTCAGATCTACTTCCGGGAAAATAATGAGAAGCTGTCAAATATCTTAACAAGATGTTTTTAGACATTAAATGCTGATCAAGGCACGCATCAGTTTGTGTTATACCATGTTTCATTAGATTCCCACCCTGACCAAAGTTTGAAATCGTTGCTATCAACTACGAACCATGGGGAATTCTGGAATCAAGCAACACATCGACACAGCACAGAAGACTGGAACTTGCCAGCTGTGTAAATTGGGACTGAAAGAGGTTCGTACTTAGTGTCTAGTGTCACAAGAGAACCGATTAATTGTCAGTGATTATCTGGTATATTGTGTGCTGATGTTATAAATGTTAAATGTAAACATAGCTGAAGACAACATCAGGATCCATGATGGATGAAGAGAATAGGAATGAAATGATAAATGCCATAACTTGTTGTTCACATTCTTAGCTATTGACAAGGTCAAATAGTCCTGAATTAAGATGTTATGTACAAAATCAATGACACCCCCTACCTCCCCAGAACAAAATGGATGACCTCCCCTTTAAAATCAATTTAGAATCTGCAAAGTTGTGTTTTACGTTGCATGTGACCTTTAAGGAAAAAGACCGCCTCCGCGGTGTAGTGGTTAGAGCGTCCGCCCGGAGAGCGGAAGGTCGCGGGTTCGATCCCCGACCGCGTCATACCAAAAGACTTTAAAATATGGTACTTGTTGGTCCCTGCCTGGCGCTCGGCATTAATGGGTACAACAAGGACTGGTCTGCTCGGAGTCAGTATAATGTATCTGAGTGGGGTATTCATGTTTCACTGCAGCATGATATCTCAGTGGGCAAGCACTATAAAACCAGCTTAAGTCTGGGCTAGTACAAGCAGCCGCACATACACATACACACGCATGCACGTCATCATATGAGCGAAATATTCTCAAGTACGACGTTAAAGTTAGTTAAACCCAATTTCACCTCACCTCACCTTTAGTTTAAGGCTTTAAGGCAAAATAGGTAAGGGGCATGCCTGTCTAAAAAATACCCCCTACATATTTCTCCCCTTCTCCTACTTATGTAAATCTTACCTGACCAACACCAGTTCAATTAAACATCACATCATGTCTAACTTAACACCCAAAATGAAATATCCCCAAATAAACCTATTTGTTCCTACTCTATTTCTTTCCCACCCACTGCTGTATCACTATCACTTCTTTCCCACCCACTGCTATCACTACTGGGTACTTGGACAACTGATAATTCCCGATGATGATTTGGTGATTTAACATCTGCTTTCCGACACAATGCGTATGTCGCACACGGAATTCCCTACCCACGTAGACTTATATAGCCAGCACACAGACCATGTGACTCGGAAAACGGATACAGCCAATGCCCACGCCCTTACATCGAAGCTTCTCAAAATGGCTGCCATCTAGCTAAGCATGTAAGAAGTGTGACATTGTCACGTCTTCCCAGCCTCAAGGCTCACATGGGCATAAGCTTCAACAAACTCCCCAGCTTTTGACTGCAAAGGTAGGTACAACATCCTCCGTCCGCGCAAGTCCCTTTAACTACCCCACCCACTATGTATTTCAACTTTATAATCATGATAATAATTTAACCCCCAATCCCAAGAAAACCACCCATAGAAAAGTCTGCCAGTGTGTACTGATGTGTGCTGTAGGATTTACAGTGCATTTCTGCATCTCCGGATGGCTGCAAATGGTAACCCATTTTTAGATATGATACAGTTTAATATATAATATAATTTCCAAATACATGTACTTCATTTTATAGACAGTGAAGGATTCAAGATTCAAAACAAAACCTTTTGGGGATTTTTTTGAGGCTGTCATCATCACAATCATGTTTTCAGTAAAAAATGTGTGATTTTATATCCTGTATTTCAACTTTTCGATTTCAGTTTCCAGAGGATCTCCAGGCACTGACTGGTAATCTTCGCACCTTAGACCTGTCAGAGAATAAGATCCAGTTGCTGCCACAGCTTATTGGCAGATACAGTCATCTAAAGAGTCTTAACCTGAGCAACAACAAATTAGGTTGGCTTCATTGATTAACATAATTCATGGTTGTATCATGTATGAAGCATGTTAACATGATTGAGCAGATTAGTACCTTAGAAGGCAAGCTATGGCTTATGTGTGTATTTTATAGTACCAGGTGGATTCAGACATGGAAACTATTGTTAGACAGAGATCATGGACTGAAGTAAGTGCCAAAAGGTTGATATGGTGAATAAATTTTGCAAACATGGACATAATTGATTTCTGTTGACACATATCAATTATCATACTGACTTTGAAAATGACTCCTGATTTTTGTGCACTCATTGTCCATTCCACTAAATTAGGTACCCTGGTATCTATCTCCACCACTGCTTTGTTGTACATTGAGTCACAGCCATTTTAACATTTAGCTTGCTATAATAATGCTATGATTTACATGATTGGAACTATCGTTAGTACATGTATTTGTCTATTGTGTACTGTCTTAGTAGAACCTTGGAAAACCCCTCTTGGTCTTGACACTTTTCTACATTAAAACCCCAATAAGTTCTTGTTTCTTAGTCTTTAGATTCTTTGTGAACTCTTTTACTTGAAATGCAACAGCACCACATTTGTAATTTGAATATAGTCATGATAGGTCTAAGGCAAATGCTAATTCAGATGAGTACCCTCTGAATTATATGTTCAGTATGGACTGGGAATATCTGTGCTATGTTAGTGACAAGAGATTGAGATGATGATATGGCAGTGCTTGTAATAGATGCATTCTTGTATTCACTCTGTACGATCAACTATAATGAGCACCTCACATAAGTTATTACTATTAGGAATAACAGAATAGGCCATGAGTACCCATGCTTGTCATAAGCATAAGTGCTAACTGTTGAGCACAGTAAGGTAACAGTCAGTAGCTGATTGTGTTTAACTGTACTCCTGTAGTGTGGACCATGCCATGAATGACTGGTGAGCCAGGATTTACAGCTGAAACATCACTATCTGTAGCCTGAAACAACAATCACTGATCTGAAACATCACTATCTGTAGCCTGAAACAACAATCACTGATCTGAAACATCACTATCTGTAGCCTGAAACAACAATCACTGATCTGAAACATCACTATCTGTAGCCTGAAACAACAATCACTGATCTGAAACATCACTATCTGTAGCCTGAAACAACAATCACTGATCTGAAACATCACTATCTGTAGCCTGAAACAACAATCACTGATCTGAAACATCACTATCTGTAGCCTGTAACAACAATCACTGATCTGAAACATCACTATCTGTAGCCTGAAACAACAATCACTGATCTGAAACATCACTATCTGTAGCCTGAAACAACAATCACTGATCTGAAACATCACTATCTGTAGCCTGTAACAACAATCACTGATCTGAAACATCACTATCTGTAGCCTGAAACAACAATCACTGATCTGAAACATCACTATCTGTAGCCTGTAACAACAATCACTGATCTGAAACATCACTATCTGTAGCCTGAAACAACAATCACTGATCTGAAACATCACTATCTGTAGCCTGTAACAACAATCACTGATCTGAAACATCACTATCTGTAGCCTGAAACAACAATCACTGATCTGAAACATCACTATCTGTAGCCTGAAACAACAATCACTGATCTGAAACATCACTATCTGTAGCCTGAAACAACAATCACTGATCTGAAACATCACTATCTGTAGCCTGAAACAACAATCACTGATCTGAAACATCACTATCTGTAGCCTGTAACAACAATCACTGATCTGAAACATCACTATCTGTAGCCTGAAACAACAATCACTGATCTGAAACATCACTATCTGTAGCCTGAAACAACAATCACTGATCTGAAACATCACTATCTGTAGCCTGAAACAACAATCACTGATCTGAAACATCACTATCTGTAGCCTGTAACAACAATCACTGATCTGAAACATCACTATCTGTAGCCTGAAACAACAATCACTGATCTGAAACATCACTATCTGTAGCCTGAAACAACAATCACTCATCTTCATTCCAGGTTCACTTCCAGAGGACATTGGAAAACTGAAGAAATTGGAAACTCTGAATCTTGAACATAACAGCATTGCTACACTTCCAGCTACAGTGAAAAACCTGTCAAACTTACGCAATATTAACCTGTCTGGAAATGGCCTTAGACAGTTTCCCACTCAGCTGGGTGGTTTAAAAAACTTAGATGGTGTTGATCTCTCTCGGAACTCAATAACGGAAATACCAGAATGTGTCAGTGCAATACAAGCAATTGAAATCAACCTTAATCAAAACCAGGTGAGTTGTCAATTTTGTTTTATGAAAAGTTTTGAAGAATATACATAAACAAATATAAATATAAATAATGAATACATACATGAAATACAGGACATAATCACTGTGAACATTGTTGATGATGTGGAAATATCTTTCATCACAGAAATTGTTTTTGCTGATGAGGTGATAGTCAACATAGAGTAGTCAGAAGCAGAAAAATATTATTCTGCCCTCTCACATCACCCAGACTTCATTACACTGACACACTTTCCTTGTTGACACAAAGGGGTCTTGATGGATCCTGCTATGGGTGTAACTTTAGCATTCTTGGCGTCCTCGGAAACAAAGGCTTTCTTAGGGTTTATAATACATTTAGAAAAAACGGTGCCTTCTCTGTTCTGTGTTCAGTCCCCATAGAGTGGTCCATGGTCACTGTACCTAAGGTGATGCTGGTAACGCACGTTACCGAGGATGTCGGTAACTCAAAGTCTAAATGTCTGGATGCCCATTGTCCATTATGCTGAGAGCTTTTTCTCTGTCCCTCCTCATTTCGGACATTTGACATGTTGATTTCGTTGCAATATTGACGTTTAAAATACATTTTACATCGTGCATTTATTGGGTAGGGCTGAATATATAAAGCTATATAGTCTGTCAACCTAACTTTAGGGACTGCATATTTTGCACCTGCAGGTGTCTGTCACCTGTTAGACATTACATCAATTGAACCCGTGCCCAGACTGAGTTGATCAAAACAATCAGGAGAAAATAAAGATAGTTATATAGGTTACTTTTTTAATAGGCGATCACCGTGATATTGATAATAGGTTCCTGATCGATGTCACGGAGAAACATGATCATACATGCAAACACTTTTACACTGAAACGAATAACAAAACAAAATATTGCCAAAATATGCAGTCCCTAAAGTTAAGTTGACAGACTATTAAGCTTTATGAATTCAGCTCAACCCAATAAATGCACGATGTAAAAGGTATTTTAAATGTCTACATTGCAACGAAATCAACATGCCAAATGTCCGAAATGAGGAGGGACACAGAAAAAGCTTTCAGCGTAATGGACAATGGGCACACACATCTAAATCCGTTCAAGTTCAATGAAACGCCACATAAATAGTGTGATTAAACACACCCTGCTTCAAGACAAGCAACAACTCTCCGGCACACAGAAAAAGTTGCTCATACTGTTAATGTAGCAGCAGTACACATCTGTGTAAAACATAAGAACTGATATTTGTGTCTCCTTTGTGTTTAAACATAACTCGACAAATTCTGTTTACTGACTAAAGCAAGACAGTATGCATTACCAGCATCATTCATTGCACGTTACCGACATCCAGACTTTGAGTTACCGACATCCTTGCATGATTTTAAAAATGCTTATTCTTCATCACATAGGTATTAATAAGCAAATTCAGTGAATTGAATGTATACTGAAAGGCAAAAGAAACGTCGTAATATTAGAAATGACATTTGAGTATCAATGGAGTATTTGAACCTATTTTTTTAAATATACGCCAGAAGTCAAGTTTGAGGAAACATGAATCGTGGTCGTATAGCCTGCATTGCCCAATAAAGTATTGTTTGAGATTGAAGTTAGAAATGTTTTTGTTTTTTGGAGAGGGAAAGTTCCTACAAACATAACATTGAAATCGAGATGCACGTGCATCATAAATGCATTCAGGCATAAATTGCCGGCTTGAATGGCAATCGTTCACTTGTTTTCTGAACAGAGCAGCTATGACTAGGTTAACGAGAGATCAACCACAACAAGCTATTGGACGTCTGCACTCAGGTCAACATGCTCGAGTCATTACTAATGACTTCAGTTGCAGCGTACGAACGATAGAACGTCTTAGAGTGCGATACAACGCCACCAGCAGCACTGATGACCGTCCAACACGTCGCCAGGACCATCATATCGTCCATCAACACGTGCAAGACCTATTCGCAAGGGCCAGAGAAACAGCTTGGGTGACCATAGGAAACCACCAGCGACCAGTCAGTGACCTACCATTCAGCGACGTCTCCAAGCCAGGAACCTGTTTTGTCGATGTCCTGCCAGGAGACCCATATTCGCCCAATGTCATCGCCGGGAACGTATCCAAGTGGACACAACGGCGGCAAAACTGTCGTGGGGGACAATGGAGAAGGGTTATCTTCTCTGATGAAAGTCGGTACTGCATTTCAGTGGTGTATTATTTTTTAAAAATAGGTTCAAATGTTCCATTGATATATTTCCAATATTACGACATTTCTTTTGCCTTTCAGTATATTTCCACCATCAAAGTTTATCAGTCTGCTAAATAATGTTGATTGTATACACGTGGAAGGCTGCTAATTCGAGGGGAATAATCGCCAAGCGATCTTATTTGCCGACATGTTGGGATGCTGGTAACGTGTGTGACCAGCATCACCTTAGGTACAGTGATGGTGAACAATTCCTTCTGCAGAGTTGCATTCATTGTCAGGATCGCCTGTTTCAAATACACAGAATCAACCCGGATCATAGACTCTGTTTCCACTCATGTGTTTCACAGTTGTGGAAATATCTAGGACAGGAGTAATTTTGTACTTTCCTCCAACATCACTGTGAAATACTGATATACCAATCCAAGCTCAACTTCAACAACACACTTACCATACTGACTCCTACCAAGCATGGAGGCATTAGATAACTGTGTTTCAGTCAAGCTCAAGTGCAGAGTTGTGTACCTTGGCCTGCGTCAAACCCGTCATCATCACATAGTGCTTCCCTTTCACAACACTGCATGTTTGTTATTTAACACCACCCTCATCAGTATTCCATCTGTGTGGTAGCAACCTGTACGTGTTCACATTTTCACCTGACAGTTTGCTGATTGATATTGTGAGCACAAGGGATATTGTCATGAGGAATGAGGACACGCTGTCAACCATGCCACCCCATTCCTAATGCAGGGGATAAGGACACGCTGTAGGGCAAGTCACCCCATTCCTAAAGTCCCCCTTGACAACAGCATACATTGGTGGGGATCAGTTGTAACTCAGAATACCCAAAGAGTTCCTCCTTCAACATGGTAACATGGTAATACTAAAAACTAGATACTGTTCAAAGTGATGGACTCTCTATCAATGCATCTCCCTGCTCTGTTGTCGCAGGTGTCTCGCCTTCCTGAAGCATTAGCCGACTGCCCCCGCCTCAAGGTGCTCCGACTGGAAGAAAACTGTCTGGAGATCTTGGCATTTACTCCGAAGATAATGAAGTCTTCCAAAATTGCACTGTTTGCTATTGATGGCAATGTATTTGACATGAAGGCCTTCCACAACTTAGAGGGTTATGATGAAGTAAGTCTGTCTGTCTGTGTCTGTCTGTCTGTCTCTGTGTGTGTGTCTGTCTGTCTGTGTCTGTCTGTTATATATACTGAGGGGAACAAAGGGAACACCACTTCATTGCGGTGTTCCTCTATCTACTCTCAGATTCTCACCCACAGTGCAGTACAAAGTTTGTGAAAAAACCTGGAAAAGAATAAAGGAACACTTGTGCTGTCATGTGTTCCCTTATTTGTTTTCCTCAGTATATATATCTGAAACATCATCAGTGTTCTTCACAAGTCTGTAATACTCTGATCATGGTTAAAATGCATATGAAAATGATTATTTGAGGTTAGAGTGTAAATATTTTTACCATGCGTTGTTAAATGTTTAGTTTGACATAAGCTAGATTTGAGTTTGATTTAAGAGATTTTTTATGACATGTTATTCAAATATATAGCTAAAATACATGGAATTATCATGAAACGGCCCTCCCATTATCAGAAATTTGCAGGCCACTGCAAATGATATTGGACCGCTCAACCTTAACAACAGGCCACTATCAGTTCTGTTGTCAAGTGACATCATAGTGGGTGCGTGGGCTTACGGTTCATTCGACATTGGTTTTGGACTGGCAGATATTCTGGGGCAAACAAGTCAAAGCAACCCGAATTCCCGCTTTAAATAGCGGTAATATTGGCTTTCTTGCTGGTGTTAACCTCAACAATTGCACTATTAACGTTGTTGTTGGACCAAAACCGAACACTGACATAGTTTGACATGTTGCAGGCTATGGTCTTGTCAAAGGCCAAGGTTGAACATCGTCACTTTCTGTTGTGACGTCACTTGAATTGTTCGATGACGTAATTGCATTCAGGCAGTAAACCCTGTCAGAAGTTGGTTTTGAGTAAACTTACAGTCAAATTCCTTCATTGTTTCCTTTTTCTTTTCAACACAAATTCCATGTATTTTAGCAATAATAACGGTATTGCTATATTTAAGGGCATTATCATTTGCAGAAGCCCTTGGTCTTTTTCAACTGCCCTCCTTCATCGGGCAGTTAATGGAAGACCTCAGGCTTCTGCAATTGATAATGCCCTAAAAAATAGCATTACCCTTATAGCATTGATCAGTGTTTGAAACGATATTAATACTTATGTGTTCATGAAATATAGGCTGCTGTCATCAGTGATATGTTAAATTTCAAAACACATTATATAAAGTACGTATTTAACCCAGGTTTTCTTTTTATTATTGCCCCGTTGGATCATGACATGCTCACCTTTTCACAAACACATGGCATTATCATGATTTTATGGTGTTACTTATGCATTTAGAATAAATTTCTTATGTTTATGGCTAAGATTTTCTGGCTTTTATTCACACGTACTTTGATTTGTTTTCAGTATATGGACAGATACACAGCAACAAAGAAGAAGTTCAACTGATGTCATAATCCCTGGTGCTGGGGGAATGTTACAACCCTTCCATTGGTGCATTGTGACACTTACACAAAAATAAAACATACTGGATTACTCAAGGTCAAATGGCGATTGAACTATGAAAATATATATATATATATAACTCGCCAATTCTGGCCAATATGAGTCCACAAATAAAATATTTCATTTTCACAGATAGCAGGTTACATGTTTTCACAATCAATATATTTTAATTTGTTTTTATGCTATATCAACCATCATGAATACAAATTTTCCTAAAAGTAAATGAAAAATGGTAATGCTAAGCCTAATTAACCTATTTTAGTTTAATGTTCTGCAAAATATGTATTTGAAAGAATTGTTTTTAAGTAATTAACATCAAAACAGTTATAACATCAATCATAACAATATGATGACCAAGAAAATCTGAAAACAAACCCTAAAATTGGTCTGTACATGTATGAACCCATTGTAGGCCTTTTTAATAATGAGTTTGCAGGGTTAAGAAAATATATGCATTGCATTTGTAGAATGTGGTAGACTGTAAAACGAAATTTTCTGATTTTGATATTTGGCTCTGGTCAGTTGAGTCCATAAACCAAAAAACTAAAACTAGAGTGTCCCCCAAGTTTATGTACTGCTGCAGCAGATCCTGATGTCAGGAGTATTACTCAGTGTCTTTCTTTGCTTTAACACATGTGTATCCTACTGTTGTTTTCATGTGTCGGTTACAAGTACCAGATACATAAAAACCTGTTGATAAGAGGTAAACACTGAATTTTTGAAAACCCCTTTTTTTGTAACAGCTGTTCAACACTCTCTTTACAGATGAATCAGTGTATATGCTGTAGTATTGAATTAAGAAATACACTTCGCTCTACCACCATGTATAGTGTGCGCCCTGAACTATTATAGTTAAAAGCACTAACGAGGGCGCTTGCGTTACACTATAATAGTTCAGGGCAAAAAGTGTTTTTTTACACACTATATGGTGGTAAAGCGGTGTATTTCTTTCTAAGATGCCAAATTTAATACTTTCTAAAGATAATTACGATTAATTTAAGGCAGAAAACAAACGGCGTTGTCGGTGACCTAAATTAAGAATCCTCGCACAGGGCTAACTGGCACGCTGTTCTATTGATGTGTCTGCCCCCTACGTTAAGACTAACGTTACCAGAAAAAACAAATGATAACAGTTTGATGGCGGTTTACGTTCGATTAAATATCTTCTCTGAATTATTTTAATTACATCTGTCATTAACGTAAACCATATGGGGCAATATGAGCGGTGCATTTCTACTACCCGCGTAAGTTTAGATCAGTACATCCAGAGGAAGTTGAGTAGTCATCGCGACATTCCACAATTGCATTGTGGGAATGTAAACATTACTGAACGTTACTGTGTCGCTGAAAACTTGTGAGTCGAAATGACACATTTTAACCGTCGTAAAACATAAACGTAATGTTTCCACCAGTGATGTTAGCTGCGTGAAGCAACAGCAAACCAAGAAACTGAATGCAACGGTGTAGTTTACTGTAGGAGGCCGTACGAGGCGATGACAACTGACATGCATCGTGACGTCGCTTACATTGTGATGTAATGTAAAATGGTTCGATTACGAGGGGGCACACTAGAATGGCGCAGTGACGGGGAAACGTCATTCAATTGTTACGTCATCAAAAACTATACCTTTATTGTCTGATAATGTATTTTTTTTTGGATTGTTCTAACCGCTAGGCATCTTAGAAACAGAGATAATCAAGGACATCCTCTGTATATCCTGACCTAGCATTTTGGTAAATGTGAAGTTGATATTTTTGGTTTCAGATTTACATTTTCTATGCATATGATGCTCTAGCTGGGTTTTCTGGGTTAGGATAGGCCGCCAGCAGCCTATGCTGGTTGTACCGTGGGGTTTCCGGGTTAGGATAGGCCCCCAGCAGCCTATGCTGGTTGTACCGTGGCGTTTCCGGGTTAGGATAGGCCCCCATCAGTAAATGCTGGTTGTACCGTGGGGTTTCCAGGTTAGGATAGGCCTCCAGCAGTCAATGCTGGTTGTACCGTGGGGTTTCCGGGTTAGGATAGGCCCCCAGCAGTCAATGCTGGTTGTACCGTGGGGTTTCCGGGTTAGGATAGGCCCCCAGCAGTCAATGTTGGTTGTACCGTGGGGTTTCCGGGTTAGGATAGGCCCCCAGCAGCCTATGCTGGTTGTACCGTGGGGTTTCCGGGTTAGGATAGGCTCCCAGCAGCCTATGCTGGTTGTACCGTGGGGTTTCCGGGTTAGGATAGGCCCCAGGCAGCCTATGCTGGTTGTACCGTGGGGTTTCCGGGTTAGGATAGGCCCCCAGCAGTCAATGCTGGTTGTACCGTGGGGTTTCCCGGTTAGGATAGGCCCCCAGCAGTCAATGCTGGTTGTACTGTGGGGTTTCCCGGTTAGGATAGGTCCCCAGCAGCCTATGCTGGTTGTACCGTGGGGTTTCCGGGTTAGGACAGGCCCCCAGCAGCCTATGCTGGTTGTACCGTGGGGTTTCCGGGTTAGGATAGGCCCCCAGCAGTCAATGCTGGTTGAACTGGGGGCAGTCTATGCTGGTTGTACTGTGGGGTTTCCGGGTTAGGATAGGTCCCCAGCAGTCTATGCTGGTTGTACCGTGGGGTTTCCGGATCAGGATAGGCCCCCAGCAGTCTATGCTGGTTATAGGAAGTTATCAAACGAACTGGGCAGTCAGGCTCGGTGTATGAAACTTTGAAGAGAAATACATGTGTTTAATCATTTCATCTTGATTATTGTCAGTAAGGATAGAGTAAAAAGGATAAAAAATGAAATTTTGGAAGGAGTGATGAAAAAACCCTATAACTTTGTGTCTAAACTTCTGTACAAACACTGCACATCTAAATGAGAGAAACTTGTACATGTGACCTGGTTGTTGTTCCCATCTGTATCTGTTCCTCACAGGCATCATGTTACCACACTTATTACTTCAAATGCTTCCTGCTTCAACAATGTGCCCAGTTGAGACAAAACTAGCACTGATAAATAGCATGAAAGGCATTTTAGAAGATGATATTTGATGAACATAGAGATTTTTTCTGGGTTACATCTTCTTTTTATTCTATAACTCAGAAAAAATCTCTATGTTGATAAATAGCACTTGTTTCATATACTTGAAACCAAAATAAGTCAACAATAGTAAACCACAATTTAATGATTGTTATATTTTTATCCCAATGTTAGTTAGAAAAGTATCTCACGGACTGACATGGAGCTGCAATGTGGGACGTGACCTGTATTGTGTAAGCCATCAAGTAAGGAAGGCATGTTATTTGTAGGTACTTGGGGACAAGTAAGTGACTTTGTGGGCTCTTGCTTGGGGTCTCGCTTTATTGTGTCATCACAACCAAGTGGTGCCAAATGTTGGCTCATATTATATCAAATACTGACTAGTCCTACCCTGACAAAACACAAAGAAACAATAACAGCACTTAATGTATCAAAAAAGATAATATATTGCTTTCAGGTATAGTATGGAATCTTTTAATTACCCCCTCACATGTAGCATTAGGTGAGATTTCCTAGTTCCTCTGCAAGGTTATGGAGAAGTGTTACATGTGACAGACCCATGGGACTGGTAGGGAAAGACAAACTGTACAGGTTATAGGTCATTATTTACACATTCAACGTGTTAAGTAGTAGTTTCGCTAAGGCAGGAAATTGTTTAAAATTCATAGTTGAGTGTAGTACCTGCGTCATATTTTGGCAGGAAATAAAGCTGTTACAGGTTGAGTTGCTGTGTATTTCAATATCTCTAACTGTGTATTGAAAAAATCTTACTGATGTTTTATTTCATGAATGACAATTATTACTTATTTATTAAGTTGCTTTGTTGATATTTATTATATTTTCACCATATTGTCTTTTGTTGCCTTATGAAGATATATGTTGAAGAAATGTTATAACATTATAGATATTGTCTGGTCCACGATACACATGTTCATCCTGTGCTACACTACTGGTTATTCCTTGGATGTTGTAGAATATCATGAATACATTACACATCAGTTTAGATTTCCTCATACATTTTCTGGGATCGGGTGGTCAGGCTCGCTGACTTGGTTGACACATCATCATATCCCATTTGTGTAGATCGAAGCTCATCCTGTCGATCACTCGATTGTCTGGTCCAGACTCGATTATTTACAGACTGCCGCCATATAGCTGGAATATTGCTCATTGTGGTGTAAAACTAAACTCATTCACTCATACATTTTCACTGCTGTTTACTGTTTAAATGAGTGCATTTAGTGAAATTTATATTCAGTCAAAATAATGACTACTCAATGATCATGCTGGCCATGTGGTACAGGTGTTCCTATTGGCTGTGTTAGGGTTCTCAGTAGTGACGGATCAGATGGACCTGGGTTCAAATCCCAGATAGCTATCTCTATTATCTTTGATTTATCTGTACTATACCCATATCCATGTTTCTTTTTCATTACTGAAACCAATTACACTCAGGCTTTTCCTCATAAACTGACAAGCTGTTAATTGACTCAAGTAACGTTCAAGCAGCATTGAACCAACAATGGCCATGTTGCTTGCATGTTATCTTAGGGACCGTTCATAATTTATGGCTAGGGGGGTGATGATGATTTTTTAAAGGGGGACCCATTTTGTTCTGGGGAGCTAGGGGGTCAGCAATTTTGTACACACGTACTAGGGGTCAGCAATTTTGTACATAAAAATATGTTTAAATTACGCTTAGAAATCAAGGGAGGGGTCATTGATTTTGTACATGACATGCAGGGGTCACTTATTTTGTGCATATATTTTTAGGGGGGGGGGGCATTCACATTGTACATGCTTCTCCATAAAAATCATCATCACCCCCCCTAGCCATAAATTATGAACGGTCTCTTACAGAACCATTTGCACAATGACTAGGACAAAGTTGACATTCCTGGAAGCATTCAGTCATCAGGGGCATACAGGGTTGTGTTGCATCATTATCAGACCTCTGTTGCCTTTGTAGGCATCATAAGTGTTCTATATATTCCAAATGATTTGCTCAACATTATACATGTAGTAACATGCACTAGTGTTTGTGTTTTGAAGAGGCGTCGTGTTGTATGTAAGGCATAGTCTCCAGACATCCTTTCGGTCCAGGAACTAGGGTTTGGGTAAACCAAGTTGCAAATAAGTGGCAATACCTCTTCCATCTTCAGTAGGATATTTTGGGGTTGTAAGGAGATAAAGCCATGGATTTTCATGGATGACAGGGTAAATATTGTACATTTACCTACGTAAGAGTTCTAATATGTCATTTTATGAGTTAATATCAATTAAAAAGTAACTTCGAAACATCACAAAGAAAGAGTAAAGAAGTTGTTTTCAATCAATAATAGATTTAAAATTGAGTGGAGTTAGAAAGTATTTAAGAAAAGAAACATGAACTTTCCAATGACAGATAACATTTTTTCAAAGGTTGCTATTGGGCACCAGACAGATAATGTTGGTGTGCTCTTGTGAAGTTAAGTGTGCCCATACCTCTTGATGATCCAGACTTAAACATAACAATAATGTCATTTTAATTTATTGTTAATAAATCAGTAAACACCATATAAACCTGTACTGTTGAGAGACCGATTCCCTGAACACTATGATGACTGCTAGCATAATGCTGTGCCACATCACACAGCTCTATTTCAATCACTTGATAATGACATTTTGAATCAAATCAAATTGTCTATCAATTAATAGCTCTTAAATATTGCAATGAATATATAATAAATGGTGAACTGTGAAACTGTTTCAAGACTATAAGGAACATCACAGTGATAAGATAAAGAAGTCACAGATTATACTCGGCTGAAATAATAGATGTCATCTATGAAACCCCTGTCTTTGTTCAGGAAGATTTGGGCCAAATCGGGGCATGAACCTTCTGAAAGCTACTTACTTGTGCTGTTCTTTTGCCCATATTATGCCTTGTTTTGACACAGTGTGAATATATAAATCTACCCACCGTGCTATCTATTTTGATTTTTGCTGGCAATTTCAGCTTTAGTTTGAGATACATGTGATTTCTTTTGATATTGACTTTCATTTCAGTTGTGAGTGCAAGCGACTTTTATGGCGGAATTAATTGAAGATTGGTATACCTATGGAGAGTTGTTAAGCAGAGGTGACTAGATGATTATAGAAACGTGTTTATAACTCAAGATACTTGAAGGAAACATCAGTGATTACAGTATCAACAATATCAGTGGTGTAAATCAGTGTTATGTGTGTACCATGTCGATGTCCCAGGTGTACCTCACCCGTTTCCTCCATAACCCATGTAGACAGGACCAGTTTCTATCATACTAATATCAAATAAACAGCAATATTTAGAGCCCACAAAAATGTATACAAACATGGAATGGTTATTATATTAAACAGAATATAAACTAGAACACCAGTAACAGTATTGAAAGTGTTCAGTTTGTAAATAGAGACTGGTAAACTTAGTCTAGTTACCTTGAAGCTTAATGATCCTGTAAAGTGTCATGAATTTGAATGTTCCTGATCCACAAGCTGTGCTGGTGACTATTCAGATCTGTTGAGTTAGTATTAACATGAAAACAACTTGGATCAGAATGTTGTTAAAGAAGCTACCTAGTGATATTAAAAATACAAACTTTTGGTTTATGTTTGTTGATTGTGAAGTGATTTCAAACATGGTGATGAGTGGACTGAACAATGTTTCTTGCATTTGAAACTTGATTGGCCTCGTGACTACACAGATCTGATTTGATCTGAGACAGTAGTCTCACTGACAGTAATAGTGTGGGTGGGTGAATGTTGTTTTATACACTATTTGCACAGTCTTCAATTTAGCCATTAGTCCAAAAGCCAGAGTCTAGTAAAATGTCTTTCAGTCCAGTAATTACTTTCAAAACACATACACTGACTGTAACATCTTGTAAAATTGATATCAAGTCTATTAACTTTCATTTCAGGTAGGCACATACTGTTTGTCAGATCAGCTGCCTTGATTCTAATTGCTTAAAATATAGTATGCCATTCCATTCAATGCCTAAATATAACCTAACCCAACAAAGTGCTCTTTTCCTCATGGTAGAGTGGAGATAAACCTGCTGTTAACTTTAGGAAACTGTACATTAGATCTATACGTCTTATGCATACATTTGAAAGTACTTCTTTCCAAATTAAAAGTACAGTCAGACTACCTAAGATTTGAAAACATTAGGTTTATCTCTGTAGTTGATTTGGACTACTAGAACAATCATCAGTATGTCACAACTAGCTGTTTCACACACTCACCACCTGATATTCATTTTAGTCTAATGTTGGGTATTATGTGACTAGCTTTTCAAAACTGGATCTAGTCTGCTTCCCTATCTTCCCACTGCTAACTTGTGACCTATTTTCAAGGGCTGAAACAGTACAAAATGTAGATACATACAAGCGTTAATTGTTTGACTGACCCATTTATCATTGGTAGTATAATAGTCTCCACATTTTTGTGTAGGGAAATGCCCTTTTAACGACCAAATATAACCCTTGAAACAGACCTGTTGTGTGTTTCTTCTGTTGTTGACAGTCATGTGTTAGAAGTTCATAGTAAAGCTCACACACCTTGACTAGATATGACAATATATATTGGTGACGTGCTGCTAAAAATAAGCCGAACTTGTGTGAACAAGACAGAAAACATCAAAATATTTACCATTTATGTATACCTGCACATACACATTATTCTTGTGCTAGCTGTTTCAATTTCAGTGAGAAATTGCGAAGGGGAATATTTCCTGTATTTCTTTTTAAGCTCGACAATTCTTTGACACTTATATTTACATTTCTTCAAATGTCAACATAGGTTTAGATGTATGCGATGAACTTTCGAAGTGTTTTTAGATTTACCGTCCAAAAGTGCATTGCTGTCTGTCTTAAATATGTTAAGACTAAACTTCCATTGTTGATTAATACTGCATAAACACACGATGACTAGTATCGCCTGTGAGGGTTGTGACCTCTGAACTATGCAGTGATTAGATTACAGTAAATATAGTCACGCCCCCGGCACAGATAGCTGGTGAAAATAACACTTAGTATTTCCCTACACATGATCTGTGATTGTCGCCCTGCACTGGCCTCATTGTGTCGCGAGGCAGGACGGAAAGCCCAGTATCGTCTGCCTCTGTCTGTTCTAGACATGCGCAGAAGCCTGTAACATGATGCCGAGTGAGAGAGGTGGTGCCACCAGGCCTGATAACTATAGAACAAGCCTGGAAGAGAAATGTATTGATCATTTGGCGGGCCGTTACGTCTTGCTGAGCGAGTTCATGTAACCACAGGCAACACAGGTCTTCACGGAAGCAAACGGCCCTAGGTGGTATGTAGCAGACGATACTCGATCCTGTGGAATATGCTTACGATAATAGTTCAATTATCTCAAGGAATGTGATGGCGAGCAACTTCAAAGTATTCTTGGCGTTCACCAAGCAGCCGAAGGATGAACCGGTGTACCAGAAACAGGACGGGCAGAGGTTTTCAGTCTGCAACACTATAAAACTAAACGTCAACTCAACCTACACAGTGAGCGTCGTGATCCGCCCCCAGCGTACTTTATTGTAAGTATATACTGTCTGTTCCAAGTCACTGTTAAGATGACACTGGTAAAGGTTGATGCGAGTACACAAGGGGGTTGCTCGTTCAACAACCCCTTGTCATGCTCACATCATATATCCTTTGCATGACATCTTCTCTCCACTTTGTCCGTGATCTGCCACGAGTCTCAACTGCTTGTGTCTCTTGTAAGCTATTAGTGCCTCTCATGAGATGTGTAAAGGGGTTATATGAACATTAACTCGATATTTGGGTGTACTGAGAGATGACCGAGGTACTGGAAATAACTGCAGAGATCCTAAATGTATTGCTTCCTTGGGCAACGAACCCCGACAGAAAATAATACAGAAATATGCTATAATTTAAGTCGATATGTATCCGCATTTGCATCATAAACGACAGTAAAATCCCTTTGAACTATTTCAGTTTCGATACAGTGAAAAATACAATTTCCCCGTTCTACAAGGCAGTCGTAGTGCCACCGACAGTCATGTCAAAATGACAGTTGCGGTAACCGTAGCGCAGCGAAGGCTTTGAAGAAACCATCTGGGCCTAGATTTTCGAAGCTCTCTTAGCGCTAGGATAGTCCTAAGTGCCATACATTAACTTACGACTATCTTAGCGCTAAGAGAGCTTCGAAGATCTAGGCCCTGCTCCCTACTTTTAACTACAGTGAAACCTCAGTATCTCGAAGGACTGTGATAATCAAATACATGTCAAGGTATCTGAAACTAAAACCGAAGCAGAGTACCATTATACCATATTGCTAAAATTCCCGTTGTTCTATAAAGTTACATTGGGTTGAACTATAGGTTGACCTAAATGGTTTGCCAAGGTTTCTACCATTACACTTGTGCTAAAAGTAACCAAACCCCGAACCTATGACCAACCACGCTCCCGTTTCATGGTAGAATGGATACCCCTTTATATCTTTAGAGTTTACTTAGATGACGGAGGTTTTTTTTATCTCATGTCCGACTGTGTTTTTGGGGCAGAGATGTCTCATGAATATGTATGAAAGGGTTATGTCGCCTTTATTCGTACCACCCAAAATGATGTTTTATAGAGTATGACAAGTTTTACATCGGCTACCACAACAGCTGGTGACATCATTAATATATGCCTGCCTAATATACCTTGAATATTGTGTAGTTTCCCTTCATTGCATTCTTCCACACATCTCTGCTTATATCATGTACTGGGACATGATAGTGAAGTGGATGGGTAGCCTTGTGGGTAACGCGTTTGCTAAACACGTTTTTAGTTACATTGAATGCATTCCCCATCAGTTTTTGGCGTACTCTTTCACATGGCTGGAATGTCTTACTATGGCGCCAAACTGGCGCACCCATTCACTTATTCATGTGATTGATGCTAAAATATCTACAACTATTTCAGTTCTATACTTTTGATAATGAGTAAGTTGGGTATAGGCTGCGCTTTAGCAACATTTATGAAGTGGGCTTTCATACATTGTATCATTGTTGTGACTGGAAGGTAACTGAGGAAATCCCAATCCCCTATATTTGTCCAGGTCAGCTGATGGTGGTTTAGATTTCTAGATTAACACTGCATTATTATTGCAGGATTGTTGGCATTATAACTTCGCTGTTCTGTTAACGTCTAGGACTTTCGATTTTTCTTCTCACATTCATCTGACAAGCAATGAAACTGTTTGGAAAGCAGGGTTAAAGTGTTCACTATAGGCACTCATTTCTTAAACAAGGTCCACATTTGTCCCAAGTTATGGATGCAGAGTTTCACATGAATCATAAGCTTTGATCACGTTAAAAGCAGGGCAGTGGTGTACGCCACAGCTGTTCAACTTTCGTATATGGAGATGAATTTCGTCAGGCAGAAACAATATATGTCATTTGAATGAACGTCTGTTGTTCATTATCAAATCATGCATTACATCTAAATAGTAACCATGAAGACTTATTTATAATTAATACGTATTTATTATTAATAGAAGCTATATTAATTTTAGGTGGTGTTTATATAGGTTATTTTTTTGTGCAACGTTGCAGGAAAACACTCAATTGATCATTGTTTGCTGACCGGAGAAGCGTCTATTTTGGAATAATATAATGTAATGTATGCCCTAACATCCCATTGGAAACATTGGAACTTGTTACCCAAAAGTACCAAATGTAAGACATTATCCTGCAGTCTATAATTCACTCGAAACACACAGATGACAACAAGTATAAATACACTCAAATGCTAATCTCCTCTAGAGCGAAAACGCCCAAGAGGCAAGTTTGGTTGTAAGCCAGTCTCCATATGAAGTACACGAGCGGGTCCAATGTTTAGTAAGGTCAGTGACCATTTGTGGGGTACGAAGAGACATTGTAGTTTAATATGAAGAAGACTCGAGTAGGAGCGAACTTAGCTGCGTCATGAACCAAGGGTCTTGGTGTTAAAACCACTGTGTCTACCCATCGTTCTGTGGCAAAAGAATGTTGCTTTTCATGCGTCAGAATTGCACATACGCGTCGTTTGTAGTGTAGTAGCAAAGGACTGCTACGACAAGTTTACAGTGGTACAACAGCCCAGTCCAGTGATACACTAGATATACACACGATGGGTGGAAACGCAACACTTGTGTGGAGGAGTGTTCTTCCAACATCACAGGATGTAGGTCCAACTTAAAGACAGTCAAAACATCTATTACAAAAGCTTCACAACTATAGTACAGTCTGTCAGGGTTTACATACATTGTACACTGTTAGACCTCATATAAAAGAGGAACAAGTAGGGGCACATTAACATACTTGTCACTTTGTGGTGCCAGTCATTTAGTTTTTCAAACGCATCATCTGAGATGGTTATATATAGTATATAACATACGCTTACACTGAATACTTGTGTCGTGACACGCTGTTGTTTTGAGAAAACGTCGCTATTGTTTGAGACAGAAGCAGATTACATATAACCATTTTCTGTTTAAAAACCTGGTCAAGACTAAGAGATGGTTAAGAGGCGACACAATGGATTGCCTGGAGGGTTTTCCTAATATGAACTGGAACGGAACTGAATCTGAAGGATGGGCATTTTGCAGGATGGAATATAAGACTCCGTTTTCTGTCTTGAAAGACTGATACGAAAGCTGATGCTGATAGACAAATTTTCCTAAGTGCTTTTTGACTGAACGCAACGCAACCTCTCATGCAGCGTACTATTCACTCACTAACGTGATAGCGCTATGTGAACCATGCATTTGCAGGCAGTAATTGATTGGGGACAGATACTCACGTAGGCCCAGCGTCCCAAGATGATCTCCATAGCTGCTAGGATATTTTTAGGACACATTGATTTTATGTGCCACAGCAATCAACAGCTCTTTGGCACATGCTAGCTTCAGTCAAGATCTCCTGTTCACGCTTCAGGGACACGCTTTTGTGACACGAAAAAGCAAGAGAAGTCATCTGTTGGATCAGTGCAACATGTCATTAATGAACCACATCAAATGGTCCTTGGTAATGACATATTTTGTTTTGAATGATGCCAGTTACTGTTTTGAAAAATAGCCGACGATTAGCTTTACATATCATTGTGACATGGGCATTGACGCCACTTAAGGACAGACACCATGAATGATGCTTTTACATACAGATAGTGTGGTTAGTTCAATGCTGATTTGAAAAGTATTTCAGTGATGTTGTGTCTTGCCAGCTCGATGTGTGAGGTCTGACGGAGGTCTTTACATACATGATAGCCTTGTGAATCTCACTAACTCGGGTATTGTTCTGACAAACCAAGAAGTGTAATCATGTTTAGTCTGGGATTCTAACAACGGACATGGCTTTCTGGCAAGCCTATTATAACGAGGCAGATGCGAACATACGCATTACCATGAGTAATTCACCCTCTCAAAGTTACGGATCCACATTATCTCTACTCTTGACTATCAGGTGACATGATGCGCGAATATAATTAACATATATACACCCATAACATTACCGATAGAACACGTGTTACCTACTGCCAACTGAAGCGTATGTAGTTGACTAATAGAACTAGTTTTTCCCAGATGTCACAGAATTAAATGACTAAGCGGTACATTTTCGTGACCTACGTTGTTCTTAATCAAACAGTTTCTTTAGCCAGTGCCATTAGGATTGTTTTGGTCTGAAATAAGCATACTATCGTGGGTTTTGCAGTCGTCAGTTGCAGGATGTATACATATGCAACCACAATTGTATCCAAGGTTACCGTAGAGAGTTTCATATCGTAGTTATCCTGGCAACAGACATCGTTTCCTAGCACTTGTCATAAGAAGCTGCCGATTTAGATCGTATAGGTCGGGCTTTGCGAATGGCACAGAATCACCCCAGTAGAGTGGGACTTTGCTCAGACGCTGTGAACCTTGCTGATTCCGGCGTAAAACAACACATAAGCAGCTCTTCATATTCCTAATACCCAAAGCAGTGTATTCATTTTTTTAACGAACAAGAATGCTGCCCTATTTAATGATGTCACTTGGATATAGTATACTGCAGAACTAAGGCGATACAGCACATTTCAATGATGACATTTTAACCTGAAGGTAGAAATAGTATGTAGATCCTTGTATTGATTTCAAGTATGGACCGTGCTCATGTCAGCTGACATTGTCCTAGTTATTTTCAGTCGCTCGGACTCCGTCATGTCTTCTGACATCTGATTATGTTTGTCAGCCTTGGGCCACGAGTACCCCATATCCACACTCCACGGGGACAATGTCTGTGTTCAGAGAAGGGCAGGATCTCTTCAGTCTTCAGAGCTCGAAGCCCAGTATTGATCAGAATGGGCGGCGTCACGAGTAACGGTCTTTGAGAACATCACGCCAATGTTCACCTGGATTTTTAAACACTCTGCTACCATTCCGTACAGAAACAATCATCGATGCTGCTTTTTAAGTGGAGTATAAGTTGGGCGGTTCGTTTTGTAAGATTAACCACATATCGAAGTGAACGCTTTATCATGTGCCGTGTCGTCTTCACAGGGAGTGAGTGAGTATGGTTTTACGCCGCTTTTAGCAATATTCCAGCACTATCACGGCGGGGGACACCAGAAATGGGCTTCACACATTGTACCCATGTGGGGAATCGAACCCGGGTCTTTGGCGTGACGAGCCTACGCTTTAAGCACTAGGCTACCTCACCGCCCCACTTCACAGGGAGGCAATCCTTTTCTTGCCGTAGCTAATTTGCTTTCCAGTTGTAGACGTTGGAAGTAGTGAAACTATATGGATTTAAACTAATTTGCCCATTCACAGCCCAATGTACGATTGAGTTCAATACAGGTTCAGTTGTAATTTACAGAAATCACCCTGGCTTTTCTAAACCACTATTTAAATATATAACACTAAATTCTTGATGTGATCATTTTATCTACCGTCCTTATTGACTCTGCTATTTTGTATAGGCGACTGCAGATCGAGGGTGAACGTCTGGAGTTGAACCAGGTAAAGCCAGAACGAGACGATGACGACAGTTGCAAGTACCAGGCCAGTTGGGTCACTGTCGGCTTCGAACAGAACAAGAGCGGCAAGAGGAAGGAGCTTCCGGTCGTGCTGGAGGTATACCCGATTCTAATTAAATACTGAAGCAAAGAATAAAAGGAACGGTTAAGCGGGGCTGATCATTAAGAACGTTATGCACGTTATTGATTTTGTACATGACATGCAGTGGGGTCACTTATTTTGTACATAAATTTTAGGGGGAGGTCATTCACATTGTACATGCTTCTCCATAAAATTATGAACGGTCCCTTATGGGGATGGAAGCAAACCTGGACATAATAGTTTGTTCGTGAATGTAGTTCCACATATTTCATTCTTCTCCTGAAGACCGTAAAATTTCTTTCTTATCTTACGTTAACATCACTATAGTAGGTTGTTCCCAAAACAGGTAATAGGAAGCTAATTTAACCTGTAAAGCTATTATGGCTACATTTCGAACATCATTTTATGTATAGTCGAGATCTTTCATACTTTACCCGGGAGAAAACGTCTTTCTGTTATGAGATACTCTTAAGTTCTACTAAAACTAAAGATGCACAGACCCTGCAGATCAAGCACTTAACCCTGCACAGCGAATGGTACATTAAATTACTGCGGCTACCTGTTTCACGTATAATTAGTGAGATGAAACATAGACACCTGTGATGTATCATTTTCCACTTTAAGAGTATCCGCTATGTTGTAGATGTCGAACGGTGTGACCATGAAGGTGGCGCTGCAATGTAAGTTCTACCCTGAGGGAGAAACACAACACTGCCATTGGGGACAACCCCTTCACAACATCGAGTACGAATGCAACGTGCCAGACGGCTGTACCTTTGTTGACATCACGAGGACTAAACTACTTTGACGTGATAAGCAGTAGAATTCTAGTCAAAAATAGAGCTTTCCCCTGAATCTCAACAAGCCTTATATGTTACAATTAGAAACAAAACCCTGAGCATAGAGATCCCGAACCCTGGTGTTTGAGGGGAGGGTGGGGCTTCAGAGGTGCCTGTTAGTGCTATTTAATGTCTACACATTCCACCATGGGGTCGTGCCTGGTTGTGCTCGGAATCGCTACAGACGTTGTGAAGGAACCTTCTGAACATTTAGTTGTGTTCTTGCTGGGACTTCCGTTACTTGATTTACAGCCACCACGATCATTTATCCGGCATTAGGGTTGCAAGAATCAAACTGCAGTGGGACAGATTCGCTGTAATCCTCTGTTTCTGTACAATATTTGGAAACCAATCTGTCATTATCCTGAAAAATGAACCGATCAGGGTCCCGATCCGCAATGTTTTCGTAGCGCAACGACATTCGTAAGCTTATGGTAAACTATAGAGTTACAACCGTTCGTAACTTCAGTTTGTGGATCAGGACCCTGAACTCCACATCTTCAGGAGTACTCTTACTTTCATTTTGACCATGATCTTAGTGTGTTGAAAATCCGTATTTCAAACAACGATAAAGCTGCAATACATTGTCTGCTTTAGGTAAATCGGAAAATATTGTCTCGTTGCTTTACAATATGATATCATTCGTTGGTATCCAATGTGTGGTGTGAATCTGTTACACTAAGTCTTGTCTTCACGTCCACGTGGGGGATATTACCTTCGGAAACAGCACAGCATTTTGTATAGGTGTGAAGGGCAATTGTTCACCAAACTGGCTTCCACACGTGACACCCCAATTATCGTTATGTCGTCACCGTTTAGAATGACGTAAACATCCAATGACATCTCAATCCTTTGTGGCTGAAGCTGGTTCGTTTTACATTTTACACACAAGGCACCTGTTGTAACTGTTTACAAATGAAGGGATCAAAGAATGATTTTGGATGATAAACAGGATCTTACTTCCGTGTCTTTTGGTATCCAGTACATCAACACTTTTTGATAAACAGCCACCGTCGGAGTTTTAAACTTTTATCGATTGGTGTTGGCGTATTTTTATTAACTCAAAAGACACTAGGTGAGATTATCGATGTATTCTTGGAACTAGAACTGTTCTAACAACAACTGAATCAAGTCATTTTCTTTCATTTCTTATATTCGGGATGGTTAACCAGGTTGTTTCGGTTCATTCGTTATCGTTCATCTCTTTCCTCAACGTACCGAGTCTCCGTTTGGCTTCTCACGGAATGACACGGATGTTCACGAATGATATCGTTTAAGAAGTGCAATATTTCACGTGACGATTCTCCAGTCTTATTATACCTATTAACAATGTTGAACAATCTTCATAACAATGTTCATATATGTGTTTACATGTGTGTGATAAAACACTCATTACATTAAGAGTACACTTAATATATATGTTTTCTACAATCTCATCTTTCTTCTTTCAAACATTATTATTATTAATTGTTATTATTATTCAGGCTACAGGAAAGGAAAAAACCCGGATAATGTGTAGGTATGTAATGAAAAGAACCTTACTATTTTCACTGTGGTTTACAAGCGTATATACACCATCCTGGGCGTAAATGTATCTGCTGGTCCATGTTTCAGGTTATATATTTTATATCTTAATCAGACTGGTAAACCTGGACTACTGTTTGGATCGCTCGATTATAAATCTGACAAACATTCAAAGGTTGTGGTGTTGTGTACAGTGATGGGCTTCCGTCATGTTACGCACGGTTCCCAGCTAAGGATATCTATGCATCGATTATTACTCGATATTTGTCAGGCATATGTGAACTGTGAGGGAATAGCATCATTATTGTTTGGTTCAACATGCATCAGGTGCTTCAAACCTGTAAATCACGAATTTATGTCTTTATCTCAAGATATGTTTTTAATTTAGTATGTTCCATAACTTTATTTCATGCATGTATGTTGTGATAATATGTCTCCAAGACCAAGAATGGTGTGTGTGTATGCTCGTAAGCATTGTTTAGTTACATCCTGTTAGGCTGTTTGTAACGCACAGCCTGTGTACATCCATGAGCAAGTGATACACTGGTTCTGCTCGACCATTTGTTTAACAATCAAATGGATTGTTGTTTATTCTTTTGCAGCTCTGCATAACATGCACGCCAACTGTGTATATTTTTGTTTGTTGTTCAACATGCAATAAATCAATTTAGGTTACATACATTTGTTATTTTAATACAAGCAAGCTGCGTCACTGGCGCCGGTCATGCATGGCCTGCCGACGTTAAACAAACCGACTTACGTCTGTGGAGATGTTTGAATTATTACTATATTATTCATGACGGTTATTTCAACACACAAACAGGGCATGTCACTCATTTAACTAACCGTCCTCATTCCGGCAGACTGTGACGAGCGTCAGTCACAAAGAAGCCCATATACACGTTTATAATGTTCTAACATCAGCATTCAATGAGAAGCTGTACCTATTATCCCAACCTGTATAAGATGACACCGTCTGACTACAATGGCACACATCGCTGACTTGATCCACAGATTCAGCCTGATTGACACCGGATGCCCTGTCAGTCTCACTGATGTAGCATTTGCAACGACGCCAAGTAAACATATTTACAAATATGCCGAAAGAAACAATTATTATCGACTGTAAAATCGTTCTACATTTCCATAGTTGATTCATAATGACAAAAGTCAAAACTAAATATATATTCAGAAGAATTCAACTTTGTCATCATCATTCTGTCATGGATACATTTGTCAACCTTTTTGTCTTGAATTTGGTAAGCATAGGTAAAGCACTCACTTCAAGGTCCATATGGACTTTCAACATTCGAGGCGTCAGCGCGGCGCAACGCTGCAAAACCGAGAACCATTATTATTAATAATAATATTTAAGAACCTTTGATATTCCTCTGATAACGACATCACGCGGAGTATTATGATATTTACACCAGTTTACATGGACATTTGTATGTAATAGGGAAATAACAGACATCCAGTTACTCTTGGTGCCCTCACACCGTCAGCATTACATCAAATGTCATCACGAGAAGCAAGGAGAGTCCTCTTGGGAGAGGACGGAAACAATGACTACACGAGTTATTTCCCTTGCTTTGTTAACTCTGAGCGCGAGACTGCCTCTCGATATTCGAGTTCGTTTGAACAAACCGATGGGAAATCAGTGGTGTGTTGGAGCTCGAAGTAATTGCTTGTTAGCCTGATAGAAAATTGTCAACGGAAGAAATATTAAGGCCGATCTGCACCGAGATAATGCAGACGAAGCACAGAATACACGATCTTTTGAAAACAGGCTTAAATAATTAGAACAAACACCTACATTTCCAGCATTTCAACAGTAGTGAAAACAGATACCAAGTTTAATACAAAATATGTTATGCAGTAGGCAGAACGACTTACAGTTCAGTTAGTAGGTAAAATATTCGTCTGCTGGAAATCAGGCCCCTAATTAACTGGTGGTAAGGGCGACTAACTGGATCTCCAACAGCATGGGTTGTTTCTCAAATTCTCATAATATCCACCACTGGTTTGACTGGTCCAGAATCGATTAATTACACACCTTAGTGATTTGACTGAAATAGTATTATCTAAGGCGTTACTCAACAGCTAAACGTACCCACATGTATACATTGTGGGGATTTCATATATGTGATGCAGGTCAGTAGTGCATATAACCGGGCTAAGCTACTGAGTAGTTACAGCTTGTTGTTTGTAATTGGTAAAGGATAATCTCATATGTGGCTGCACGTGTTAGCAAATATAATCTTTGCGGTCTCGACATTCAACTGATCGTAGTTATCTGTGCTCTCTTACAGGCCCCATAGTCCATAAACACAACCAGCCCAGACTCCACACAACACAACCAACCTAGTGCCCACACAACACAACCAGCCCAGTGTCCACACAACACAACCAGCCCAGACTCCACACAACACAACCAGCCCAGACTCCACACAGCACGACCAGCCCAGTCTCCACACAGCACAACCAACCCAGTGTCCACACAACATAATTAACCCAGACTCCACACAGCACAACCAACCCAGTGTCCACACAGCACAATTAACGCAGACTCCGCACAACACAACCAGCCCAGACTCCACACAGCACAACCAACCCAGTGTGGACCAACATAATTAACCCAGACTCCACACAGAACAACCAGCCCAGTGTCCAAACAGCACAACCAGCCCGGACTCCACACAACACAACCAGCCTAGCCCAGCCCAGTCCACACAACAAACCAGCCCAGTGTCCACACAACACAAACCAGCCCAGTGTCCACACAACACAGCCAGCCCAGTGTCCACACAACACAACCAGCCCAGAGTGTCCACACAACACAACCAGCCCAGTGTCCACACAGCACAACCAGCCCAGACTCCACACAGCACAACCAGCCCAGTGTCCACACAACACAACCAGCCCAGTGTCCACACAGCACAACCAGCCCAGTGTCCACACAGCACAACCAGCCCAGTGTCCACACAGCACAACCAGCCCAGTGTCCACACAGCACAACCGGCCCAGTGTCCACACAACACAACCAGCCCAGTGTCCACACAGCACAACCAGCCCAGTGTCCACACAGCACAACCAGCCCAGTGTCCACACAGCACAACCAGCCCAGTGTCCACACAGCACAACCAGCCCAGTGTCCACACAGCACAACCAGCCCAGTGTCCACACAGAACAACCAGCCCAGTGTCCACACAGCACAACCAGCCCAGACTCCACACAGCACAACCAGCCCAGACTCCACACAACACAACCAGCCGAGTGTCCACACACACAACCAGCCCAGTGTCCATACAGCACAACCAGCCCAGACGCCACACAGCACAACCAGCCCAGTGTCCACACAGCACAACCAGCCCAGTGTCCACACAGCAGAACCAGCCCTGTGTCCACACAGAACAACCAGCCCAGTGTACACACAGCACAACCAGCCCAGTGTCCACACAGAACAACCAGCCCAGTGTCAACACAGCACAACCAGCCCTGTGTCCACACAGCACAACCAGCCCAGTGTCCACACAGCACAACCAGCCCAGTGTCCGCACAGAACAACCAGCCCAGTGTCCACACAGCACAACCAGCCCAGTGTCCACACAGCACAACCAGCCCAGTGTCCACACAGCACAACCAGCCCAGTGTCCGCACAGAACAACCAGCCCAGTGTCCACACAGCACAACCAGCCCTGTGTCCACACAACACAACCAGCCCAGTGTCCACACAGCACAACCAGCCCAGTGTCCACACAGCACAACCAGCCCAGACTCCACACAGCACAACCAGCCCAGACTCCACACAACACAACCAGAACAGTGTCCACACAACACAACCAGCCCAGACTGCACACAACACAACCAGCCTAGTGTCCACACAACACAACCAGCCCAGCCCAACACAACCAGCCCAAAACGATGTTTTGGGTCGTTGTCCTGCTGGAAAATCCAAAAATTTCCATAGAACACGTGAGCAGATGGAAGTAAATGTCCCTCGATAATATCTGTGTACCGCTCACTGTTCATATTCCCTTCAAATACACAGAGGGGCGTTGCCCCTAACACAGATATGTTAGGGCACACGTTAAATTTCGGAATGTACTTTGGGCGCTGATACAAAGGTTTTTCAGTTTGTTTGGTCCAGAATTTCAGTGTATTAGGAAACAGCCACACAGAACTTTCACATTGTCCCAGTTAACATTTCTATGCTGTAAGCACCAGTTCAACCTTCGCTCCTTTTGTTCAGGTTTCATGATCGGTGATGGAATTCCTCGACTTTTCTGCCAACCCATTGCATGCAGCTCAGTTCTAATTGTCTCCTTACAGACAGCCACAGTTCCTCTATCAAACATATCCAGCCTTAAGTTTTCTAAACTCCTTCGTTTGTTCTTAGAAACAAGAATACCCAGCCGCCTCCTGTCACCGACAGTCAATTTTCTGGGCCTACCTGCGCCTCCCTGGTGCTCAATGCCATATCCATTTGCAATATTTTTCAAAACACGATAAACAGTGGACAAAGGGATGCCTGTTCTACTTGAAATCACTTTAGCTGATCTGATGTCCTTGTTACAATAGGCTAAAATCAACTTCCTCTTCTCTAAGTCATCCATACTGAGGATCACTGAAAATGTCGTCTGCTAGCAAGTAAACAAAGGGGGATAACTCTTCACAAACTAATGAAAAAGGGATTAACGGAGTTGTCTCTCTTGAATGAAACCAAGCACTTGATTGCTGGTCAAGGTTGTTTATACTAGAAATCCAATTAAACATATTCCTAAAATTCTCAATAATTTCTGGTCATACTATATCTGTATAGGTTAACTCAAATGCACATAACTTATTCCTGTTTCATACGTGTTTCCTCCTAATTCGCTTAGATAATTCATCTGCAAAGTCTTCTTCATCATGTTCATAAAACTATCTAGATTTGACAGCGGATCGAGTCTAGGGACAATGAATACATGACGAAACCCAAATGCGGTGCATATAAATAATACGTAAAATGCCCTCCCGTTCCACAAACTTCTGGATTCCCAAGTCGTCGGCCATCAATCACCAGCCAATAATTAGACCTTCATGAAAGCATGTTAGTCTACTTATTCATTAATGGCCTTCGTACTTGTACACCTCCAGTGACAGATGACAGCCACATAGAGACATGTAGATGCTTAAGTTAACCTATGCCAAGTATTTGATCATGTGTACATGTGGTAACTGTGTAAAGTAAGGAGGCGTGGACCGCGTGAGGGCGTACCACTGTAGTGACCTGTACGTACCGTTACTGTTTGGTATGTTGCTTGTAACGCTGTTGCTTTGATCGAGTTTGGGGAACAGTGCGGGAACTACCCCTGCTTCAATATGCATGTGCCTTCAGGAATTGAATAAATTGATTTAAAACATGGACTTTATCAATATTACAAAAATGTTTCCATTTTATTATAGACACACCTTTAAATAACCCTTATTTTTCGAGTTGTGCATCGCCATAGCTTTCTTCATGTGACGATTTTCATCTTGCTGTTGCAGTTCTGCTTTGTTTCGTGCTGTCACCATAATACCCTGTACACGTCTTAAGTCATGAGGGTCTAGGGTCTTGTGTGGGCGTCCTTTGTCGACCTTGGTATCCATCACTGGTGAGTTTGACTACATCTATAGGGTGGGCCCCATGAAAGTAAAACGTCATATCTTTGATTCTGCTTTTTACATATTGTAAATTCGTCTTTTACCTGGTACTTGCTGTCTTTCCTGAGTGGCTGATGTGATCGTCAATCATATAACACCAACTGCCTACGATTCCGACGGAGGGCCTTGGTTGCCAGGGCGTCCAAGACCCAGCATTTTGCCGGACAGAACAGGTACCAGAAACTTATATTCAAAGATACGCCATGAGCACAATACCGATGCTCAGGTTACATCGGCCTTCCCCCAACATGAAGCTGACATGTCTAAAATCATGATCATTCAAAGCTGTGACAAACCGAACTGACTCTTTCGTCGGCATCACCAGTACTATCCTGTATGTACCGCCAGTCGAGTGAGTGAGTGACTTTGGTTTAACGCCGCTTTTAGCAATATCCCAGCAATATCACGGCTGGGGGACACCATAAATGGGCTTCACACATTGTACCCATGTGGGGAATCGAACCCGTGTCTTCGGCGTGACGAGCGAACGCTTTAACCAGTAGGCTACCCAACCGCCCCGCCGCCAGTCGAACATAGGATGCCTCTGTGCGCGCGCGCGTGTGTGTGTGTGTGTGTGTGTGTGTGTGTGTGTGTCCGTCCGTATGTTTCAGCTGTATATTTTGACCCTGCTTGGCGCTCGACATGAAGGGTCTAAAACATGGATTGGTCGGTCTGGAGTCTGTGTTTTACTGCATCATATCATGAAATATGTTTGTATAAACTGCGGCATAGAGAATTGGCACTATATAACCGACATCTGTCATTATAAACGTGCTATAACTGTGAACGTTAGTCTCATCTGCTCGCTATTCTCTATAGTTAGAAATTGTTGTGTGTACGAGTTGGGTGAAATGCCGTATGGACCGTCATATCCCCATGTATTCCAATATGGTGTCCTAGATGTCAGCCTGACAAACCTGGGACCAGTTAACACGAGAAGAATACGTATTCATAATTCTACTAAACTAGTGTCCAAAAGAAACGATACCACGTGTTTCAAAGATCACTAAATTAAAACAAAACAACATAGACATTTCAAATTGATATCTGTCATTAGATAAATGATTTTACGGCATGTGTACAAAAAATCATGGCAATCAAAGATTTACAATCATTAACACAGGGCTTTAAACGAAGTGTGGTGCCCAAAATTGAAATTTCATTTTAGCACAGTGGAGGAGGCTAGTGAGGGTAGTCTCTGAAAACAGTCTTAACGCCACTTTAGTACCGGGTATGTCCACCAGCAGCTGAGATACATGCCATGTCACGCCTCCGAGCTGATGACGTCAAACGTCGGATGACGTTAGGGGTGATTCGCTGCCACTCATCCTGGAGACAATGTTCCAATTGTTGGAGGTTGGCTGGGGGCGCAGGGCGTTTTCTGATTTTCCGATTTAGGTGATCCCATATGTGCTCAATGGGATTCAAATCCGGTGAACACGCTGGCCATGGAAAAACCTGTATGTTGGCGTTAGCAAGGAAGTTCTGGGTCAATCTTGCCGTATGAGGCCTAGCGTTATCGTGCTGGAACACGATTCCTCCTGGATGCTGTTGGGCGAATGGCTGCGCGACTGGTCGTAAAACCTCATCCTGGTAACGCTGTGCATTCAGGTTCCCCCGAATAATGACGAGCCTTGTTTTCACATCACCGCAGATACCTCCCCACACCATTACACCTCCGCCTCCAAATGCATGGACTTGCTGGATGCAGTTCGGCGCCAAACGTTCACGAACTCTTCGGTATACTCGCTGCCGACCATCGCTCTTGTAAAGGCAAAACCGGCTTTCGTCCGAAAACAAGACACGTGCCCAGTTTCGACGTTGCCACCGCCGAACACGCCTGACCCATATCAATCGGTTGACTCTGTTTTGACGTGTCAGGTAGACTCCGCGGTAGGGGCGACGTGCACGGATACCATGTGCCTGCAGTCTCCTGTAGACGGTTTGTCGACTGATCCGGTGTCCCAGTCCCGTCGCCGCCGTTAACGTCGCAGGAACGAAGCGGTTACGTAGGTGGAGTAACCGGATGTGGTTGTTTTGAATAGGCGTTGTCACCCGGGGTCTCCCGCTTCTCGGCCTGTCTGTTGTTCGGCCTGTTTGACACAACCGTCGCATTGACCTGGTAACGGTTATGCGCGCGCATCCAAACGTTCTTGCTACAGCGGCGTGTGATGCTCCCTGTCGGACCATTCCAACGGCTCTTTCTCTCTCGATCGCTGTCAAACGTGCCATTTCTTTTTACTGCTGTGGGCACAACGTGTCGGACCAGCGGTTTTATACAGTTCATCTGCACGTGCATTTCGTGCTACACGACTTAACGTCATTTTGAGTATTCGTGCGATTGCTTCTTAAGTGAATAAATGTTACAGTTTTTCGATCGAATACGTTTGGTTAGGAACGTGGGATACACAGAATTATGTTTTTTCTCCAAAAAGTATCATTCATTTAAAAATATTGAAAAACATATTTGGTATCGTTTCTTTTGGACATGAGTTTATTTCTGTTGGTTGTCCAGCATGTAAATGACTAGCGCACATGTAATTTTGCATGAAACTCTACTTTCCCTTAACGTTTCGCATTTTGTATTGCCGGTGATCGCCTGCCATTTGTTATGGTCTGCCTGAGAGTAAGTATGCTCTGAAGCATTAAAGTCTGCAAAGTTGCTGTGTTGAATGTACTTGTCACTGACTGGTAACGTAGTGGTTTACGCGCTCGCTTGCATGCCGCAGACATTCGGTTCTCATCTTGGCGACAATATGTCGCCCTGAGTATAAGTGCACACATTTTCCTAGAAATATAAATTATTATTGACGAGATGTTTGGTTTGAAAGAGCGTCTGTCTCGAGGGCAAAAGCCCATGGTTGATCGCCTTCGTCATACAAGACGTTAAACGATGGTAGTTTTTGTTGCCTGCCTGGAGACTGAAATTAAGGGGATAAATCAAGGACTGGTCGACATGGGAGTCAGTCGGTATCCGTGTTATAACTACGGCATGGTATTTCAGTGGGCTAGCACGTACAAGTACACCAAAGTACGTTCTAGAGAGTACATTAATCCTTGAACGCAATGCTCAATCGTATTTCACTGGGTCGTGAAACGGTTACCACATCCAGTTGTACCCACTCCATTGTTCCGTTACTGTTGTCGCTGAAACTGATCGAGTTGCTTACGCAGCAGGTTTCAAACAGTACTCATGGCGGAGTTTCGGGACTAACCGAGGCTGACAGAAGATACATAACAAACTGGTCATGTAAAAATATTGTATTGTGCAAAATGCTAATACATAAAAGGGCACGAAAATAGGAAGACTACCATGGGCGGATTCAGGAATTTTGAAAGGGGGGTTGGGGGGTGGGTGTCTACCAACGCAAAAAAAAAATCTTCAATGTGGTCTTAAGTCATTTTCAAAAGGGGGGTTCGAACCTCCCCCCCTCCCCCCCCCTGGATCCGCCAATGGACTACAATAGTGCTGCAACATTTCAACCACACAGATAATAATACACCTCTTTATTTCCTTTTCATGTTCAACATAATTAATTATATATTCTATAAGGAGACAAGTCTGCATCGTCCATCATCTGGTCATGTTTGTGTAAGAAAGAGTTTTTGCTGCGAGACTTCATACACCGTCGTAAGGCAGTCCATCCCATACCTGGAGTGCTGAAAGCAAGACAAGGCAAACACTCACTCAATAAATCGTAAGGCTACAGTATGCATGAAGGCGCTTGAAGAAGCTTTGAAGAATAAATGCAATTTAAAAAAAAAAAAATTTTTAATTATCTTTTCTTTACAGATATCCCTGTTACATATAGGGACTCCTGCCTAGAATATAAGAATTTGCTATACATGAAAAAAAGTATCATGGATTCATGCGGCATATTCATATACATGTACATCAAGTCGTTATGCACGATCCAGTTAAGCGTCATTGTTTCCACTACTGTGGATGCATATGTTATAGATTATGTGAAAAGAACAAGAAGTACCCCCTCCCCCGAATGAGAATAGCCTAATTTTATCTTTTTATTTTCAACCACCAACTCTGAGTTGTTTTAATTTGTAAATTTAACCTGTATACCAAGAGAACAGAAGGAATTAGACGATATTAGGACACGAAAATAAAAGATACAATCAGTGGTATATTATCAGAGTTGAGTGAGATAGGATGATTTCTATCTGAAACACCTTATTCGACTAAGCAGTGTTCGTTAGTGATTAAGATTTTATCACTTGTCTGACTATATATAGCTTTTCCCTATGTTATATCAATTGCCTTGATGACACTAAAATAAAAGCCATGTGGTTGTGACAACATTATGCGAGTTGAGTGTAGGAGAGCGTTTTCTTTGATGATTGTCCCCAAGAATCACTTGCTCAGGACAACAGATGATCTAAGGGGCATAACTCTGAATTTTAGAGGTCTCGCGGAGACAGGAAGTATTCAATACGCATGACAAAAATGGCGTTATAGTTTTCTTGGGCCGCATCTGTATCAAAATTTGTCCGTCTTCGAGAGAAGTTAAGAAGTAGTATTTCCATGGATGGATCGAAGCAACAAATTGGGCAGAAAGTTCAGAAACAAAACTGCATATTGTGAGAAGCAGAATAATGCGTGAAGCGGTAAACTGAAACTGTTATCAACCTCTGCCCGGGAGCCTCGTTGTAACGTCGCCGTTTGCCATAAAAGTGCTTCCCTTCAGAAAATCGATTGTCAAGTGGGAAATCTTCGAACGAACAAATTGATGGATATATCATATGGGCGATGTGAGGAAAATAGCTGTCATCTATGAAGAAAATCATTTATTGTTTTCATAATTCCAAACGGTATAATATTTTATGAGTGGACATGTCGACCGATCCTCCTCCAGTTCATACTGCAAGTGTCAGTCATGACACACATGGGGTTAACTCTCCCATGCCGCCGATAAGCAGTTTGGCAGCGCCGTCCAACATACCGCCTGTTATGACATGGAACTCATATGTGGGACTGAGCAATGCAGCACCGCCACAATCTTTAGGTGTGTCAAATCTTGATGGGATACCTAGGCCTTTAGCATCCCAGGTTGTTCCAAGAAATTACCCAACTGGTTACCACACATCTGCACCAGTTTATGGTGGCGCCACCCTGGAAGCACCCCTTCGTCAAAATATTGATTCCCCTGCAATAAGACAGACACTGGAAGCACCAATAAGGCAAACAATAGAAGGACAGCTCCGCCAAACTATTGAGGAGCCCATCACACACACACCACCACCCACAGCACCTGCTAATAATGTCACCATGATTGACCCATCAGCAATGATGGCAACCACAGTTCAAATGACATCCGTCCGGTCAGTATCTTCTGTGCCTGTTCAACAAGACAGATTAGCAGCAACAATTCAAAGTGATAACAACATAATAACTGCTGCTTTGGAATCAAGTAAACTTCAACCAGAAACCCATGTTGTTATTCCTACAACTATATCTGCAAGGACACAAATTCAGATGGTCCAAAACCTACCTATTCAAGATGGACATCAGCATATTATCAATGCACAAGACACTATGTTACATGCTCCTCACTCTGTTGCAGCGTACTCAGTGGTGACACATGCACCAGTTATAGATAGTCAGACAGGACATATTACAACCCATCATGCACAGCTTGCTCATGGTGTAGTAAATACACCACCCATGACACCTCAGCCTCAGGTTTTGCCTCAGCCTCGAGTTCCTGCTCCACCCCCAACTAAACAAGCAAAATCCAATGAATCAACAGATGTCACTCCTAAACATGTAAGAAGAGGCAGGCCATCAGGTGGCGGTAAAACATCACGCAAAAGTACATCTCCACGTTCAGCAGCTAAAACATCACCAACAAAAACACGGTCTGCTTCTGATGCTGTGTCAGCATCTGACCCTCTTTCAGCGATGACCAAAGAGGAACAAATGGACCTGGCAGAGGTACTGAAAAATGTATCCATGGTTCCCAAACCATTACATGTTTCTCCTCGTAAGCTGAAAAGGAAAGCATATTCGATCAAAGAAAAACTAAATACTGTCGAAAGAGTGAAAGCTGGTGAACCAAGATCAAAGATTCTGAGAGACATGGGAATTCCTGATTCTACACTTAGAGGCTGGATGAAAGATGAAGACAAACTTCGTACATTTGCTTACAATGTTGACATTAAGAAAAAGAAAGCCAGGACAGCCAAAGATACATTGCTGGATTCAGTTCTGCATAGCTGGTACTTACAGCAGAAGGAGCGTGGTATGAATGTCTCAGGAGCCATGTTGAAGATCAAAGCTGATGAATTAAATAAAGATATTAATGGAGAAAATAATTTCAAAGCTAGTGCTGGATGGTTGTATAGATTTCAGAAACGTCATAATCTTGGGAAGCAGAGAGATCCAGATGAAGAAGATTCAAAAAGTGCACCAACACTTGGATACAAGGAGGAAATCCTGCATTTCCCGTATGATCAAGTTCTGAAGAACCAGGATGTGTCAAATGCTGATGAGAAAGTTCACCAGTTCTGTCAAAAAGTGAGAGAAATTTTACTTTCTGGTGGTTACAATGATGAACAAGTGTACACATGTGATGAAACTGGATTTTTTTACAAACTTCTTCCAGACAATAATTTTCTTGTTCCGTCAGATGAACCTAGCTGTGCTAACAGCAAGAGGATCAGAGACCGGGTGACAATGTTGTTCTGTTTGAATAAAACAGGACAGCACAAACTGAAACCTCTATGTGTAGGAAAGTATAGATCACCAAGGGGCTTCCAACATGTTAATGTGTCTAAATTGCCTTTTTGGTATAAGTGTAGCCACAATGCTTGGATGACATCTGCAATTTTCATGGACTGGTTCACTACATGTTTCATCCCTGAAGTGAGACACTATCAGAGAGAAAAGAAACTGGAGGAGAAAGCTGTTTTGCTCTTAGATGAGAATCCTGCTCATCCATCTGGTGAGGTTCTGGTTGCTCCAGATGGTAATATCCAGGTCATTTTCTTGCCAAAAGACACTACCTCAGTTGTTCAGCCTCTAGACCATGGATTAATGGCAGCCTTCAAGTCAAGCTACAGAACAGAGTTAATCAAGGAGGTGGTGACAAGCGAGACTGATGTGAAACTATTTCTTCGTCATCTTTCACTGAAAAGGATGATGTATATTGGAGAGAAGGCATGGTCTGCCATTAAACCACGGACAGTTGAAAAGATGTGGCATAAGTGTCTGCCAATGGTCTTTGACCCTCTGGCTGGTAGTTCCGATCCTGCCGATGAAGACTCAACTTCTCTTGCCGATGCCAACAGCAGAAACAAAGCTGATTCTGAAAAACTGTTTCAGGAGAGATTGGAAGCAGCAGGTATTGAGACATCCCTAGCAACCATTAAAGAGTGGACAGGTCTCAATGAGAATCTCCCAACCACAGACATCTCCACAACAGGTGCTACTGAGAATGAAGAACAGGAGGTCCCATCTGAAACCATGGAGCAGGAACCCAGTGAGGATGAGGATGATAACCAGTCAAAGATTCCATCCAATGCTGAGGCAGTCAAAGCATTTGAGATTGGCCTTCAGTGGTTGGAGTCTAAAAACATTGACTACATTACAATATTGCAGGTGCAAAGTATTTTGGACTATGCTCGATATGAACGTCGAAATGAACTTTCTCAATTGAACAATAGTTGTTGATTGTTAATTTGTGCAGCTTGTTTGACACGTTTGAGAAGCCTAATTCTGTTGGGTTTGGGTTTACTTATAGGACACATACATGTTAATTGTTAATATGTGCAGCTTGTATGACATGTGTGAGAAGCTTAATTATGTTGGGTTTGGGTTTACTTATAGGACATACACATACATGCGAGTTGTAATAGGGACTTACTTTATTGCATTCATAGACAATTCCAATACTATTTTAAGGTAAGTCAAGGATCATGTTGGAAGAGAACTATTTACTTAAATCATTTATTGAATTTTGAATGCTGGTGTACTTGAGAGGTGGTAATAGGGTATTTTATGGAAAAATTGGAAGTTCTTTTCACAGGTTTGCATGTAAATGGAATATTTTTAGGAAGAAAATACAAATCAGATAAGAAGACAGACTGGCACACTAGTCATGAATTATTAGCAATCAAATACAGTGTACTGGGTGACCATGTTCATTGTGATTAGGTTGGTGGGGGGGGTGTCATTGAGGTTAATTCCTATAGTTTTTTTAACCGAGAGACCTTCCAAATCTGGACCTTCCACCATTAGACCATGGCCCCTTGCTTTTTGTGTTCAATTTGAAAACAGAGTATCAGTGTGTAATGTTATCATGTGTACTATCTATTTAAGCATAACTTCGCATCGAGCTTTTACACACACACGCATAGCATGGAGACAAAAGTTACAAATATGTCCAGGGTTTACTCAATGATTATACAAACTGTGCCTTCTGAATGTCCAAAGTCTTTTTCAAATGTTTTCACATGATTAGTATGGTGATGAAATGCAATAAGATCCATAGAATTGAATTTATCATGTTTTTTAGTTTTAGTTTTTGGGAGGTGTTTTCCTTGTTCCAGTCTTTTAGCTCTTGCTGCAACTGTTATTGTTGTTAAGCCTCTCCAAACTTAAATCTAAGAGGTATTTACCGGATGCAAAGTCCTTCATCTTTTACTCGTAAAAATGGATGCAAAGGGAATACATGAACTACAGAATGTTTGTGTGCATGTTTACATTTGGATTGCATGGTTTAGGAATGAAAACTGCTATTCCAAAATTTGCTATCACTAATTCCTCTAAGTATTCACAATTATATATTACTTGTAGTAAAGTACTGCTTCCCTGTTGATAGGGATGTGTGTGCTTTGACATGTTCAAAGCATGGCGGCTAAACAAGTTGTGAATGTGTTTTTTGGTGGGGAGAATTCAAGTATGAGAACAAGGGCAAAAATGAGTATGATGAAATAAGGTACAAAACATGCTAAGTAATAAGGTGGTTCATTGGAAATACCATTGTTGTATTCAATATTTTTTATTTCAACCTAGGTTATCACTGATTTAGTACATCACTACAACTCAAGAGTAATATTTTAAAGACATGCACAATTTCATTATCTGTATTGCATCTGCTTGGCCCTGGGTGGTTGGATGGCAACGTCTCCTGAATTGATGCAGTTCACATATAGAGGTGGTACCTGTCATTGGCCAGAATCCTAGGGTGTAGGTTCGAATCCCAAATATGACCTGTGATAATTATGATTCTTGGTTCGGTAGTAAACAGGTAAACTAGGTTTAATTTTTTATGGTTTCTTTAGACCCTTTGATACAAACCTACAATAACCATGGCAATAGATTATCTGTTAGACTGAATAAGTAACCTCACATGACAACATCATTTTCAGGGATGCCATTCATAACATTCTTTCTGGTCAATACTGATGTTTTTTCATAAATGATATTGACATGTTTTTCTGAGAAGTATTCTTATTCTAACTTGTTATCAATATTTTGGTCTAATATATTAGGAGCAATATTCATACTGATCACGTGTTCTGACCCAACTGATACTGGATAAAGAGAACTACCCTAGATATGATGGAGCTATGTTTACCTCTGTATTATTACTACTAGAAAGTTTCACGAGGACAATGCTGGATATGTACTGAATCGTGACTTATTGTGAGATATCAGCCCTACATGTTGTGTGAGTAATGTTTCAGTCTGTCCAGTTACAGATGTTTGTTGAAACTCCACACTCTAAAATATTCCAGCTATATGACACAAGTCAGTAAATAATCAAGTCTGAACTGTACAATCCAGTGATTGACGTCAGGGTTTGATTTGTGTTGGGGAGAGTTTAACTGTCTTTTTCTGAACCAGTTAAAACCAGCTGAACTTTTGTTCAGTTCTAACAAAAACTTTCAATTTTAACTTTAACAAAGATCACACTATAAATTGTTCACTCTTATGGCATTTTGTATGCTTAGATGATGATCAGCCTCTGTAAATGGGTGCAATTTTAAGATTTGCTCATTGTCTATTTCATCACAAATAAGGGGGATAAATTCCTCACTAGCCATGTTAGCATATTGTATTATTCATGTTTGTATGTATATAACACAAACTGATGACATTCACATTTGGTTAAAGTCTGCACACAAGATCTGTTGTTAAAGACATGGAGAAATATTCCAGAATGAAAGATCATATAATGTTGTGAGATACTTCTGCTAGCCAGACATGTTGATGCAGTGTGTTTTTAAAAGCAGAATATTTAAGGTATGTATCATCAAGTGTGTATAACATTATGTAGAGCATTTATTGCCAGTAGAATCTCAAGAGTGTTGAAGTGTGAAAGATATAATTACTATATTGTTCTGGATGACATAATTATGTATACTACTCAAGTTTTAGCTTGAAGACTGACAACATTTACGATTGCAATAAACCATATCTGACCAGGAGAAATTTTATTGTTTGGTTTTTAGTAATGAAATTGCCATGACCATTCATAGAAAGTAACTTATTGGCACTTCGACATGTTTGAGGTTGGTAGAACAGGAATAACAAATGTTTGCTTGTATGAAGTTTCAACAGGAAAAAGGAATACTATTTATTTGTGGGAGTTTTCAAGAAGCATCACCACATCTTTCGCAAATTACCCAGAAATAGGCTTTGCGCTTTACACTCCTTTTGGAAACTGAAACTTGGCTGTTAGTATTACAAGCAAACATTAATTAGGAGGCTACCTTGGTAGCCCCTTCATGAAGAAGTTTTGAAGAAGTTTGTGTTGGGGATGGTTCTCTTACAGTTAGGGTGAATTGATGACTTCTTGTCAGGAGGCCAGAAGAAACATATTTGTTCTCGAAAATGTCTTGGTGTTAATACACAACTAGATTTTCCTACTGGTCTACCAGATGGTCCTGTTAGCCTGCACTCCAGATTTGACTGACATTACCCAAGGTAAGTTACCATCAGTCTAGTCACTACATATCCCATGAATGTGATAACTTACCGAAAATAATGGATACAATGTTTCTAACTTTCCAGATTTTTCTTCCTTCAGTAAAACAGCCAGATAGCTGATGACGCTTTGCTGGAACAAAATACACACAAGTAAAGAATTCAAAGTTAGTGATTTGTTTGTTTGCACTCAGAAATATTCTGTCTATATGGTTGTGGCCTATATATAATCTAGCCTGGGCGATACAACCCAGTAAACATCAAAATCAGTCCATTAATGATGACCTGCAAACAACCAAGAGACCAAGCCACCTCACCTGATTCTGCCAGTGTGCGCAAGGTTCAAGATTAGAATTGCTATCACCTTTACAGCTGGGTAAATGGCATCTTGTTAGATCAGTTTTGAGTACTAGTGAAAACAGAAAAATAATGATCCTTGTGCATTGGGTTGGGAATGTCTGGATCACAAACAAGTATGATTAATTTGAGGGGAGCCAAAAAACAATTAGTTTCTTTATATTCAAATACCGCAGGACCAGATTCCAGAAGCAAAACAGAAAATATAGAAATGTTGCCAGATTTGTTCTCTTGTTGATTTCCTGAACATGCTGAACAAGACCTCATAAAATATCTCAATCAAAACTCTGTAATCCAAAAGAATCTATTTGTACAGATATTCTTAGTTTGTGATGAAATACAGGACCAAAATGTAGAAATAATGAACATATTGTCAGAGTTGGTTTGGAGTTATTTCCCACAAAAGATTCTGAAATATCAGTAATAAACAAAATTATGTTCATCAACAGATTGTTCTTAAACATAAACTGCATCAAAAGCTTTTGTTTCTGATTTTGCATGGTTTAGAGATGCCATTTAAAACAAGAATATTAATCGGTGTGGCCTTGTTGACAAATACTAGTTTGGGGATGGTTCATTTTTATCTGAATCTCTAACACTACAACAATAATGAATTAGGATAATAAAAGATATAAGGAAAGAGACAGTGTACTTCAAGAGAACATACCAAGGTGATGGCTTCATTGATGACAATGTCTGTTATACGTGAGAGATCTATGAACTTGGTGCATTTCAGTCCCAGCAAGTACTCTGTCTTCAGTTGTACACCAACTGTTGGTAATATCAGAACTATCTCTGCAAACAAAACACAGTTATCATGTTCTTGGCAATCATAAAAAGAACCATCTCCAAACAGGTGAGTTGCTAGTTTGTGATACTAGAACCCAGGATAAATAACCATTACATGTTACCTTTAAAATGTTCAGCAGTGGCTGCAGTATTGTGAAAGAAGGAGTGTTGCATACATAAGTCATGGAGTGAACACAGGACATACATAACAAAACAACTAGCTTGATGCAGTGTACCACTGTCAGGAACCTGGGCCCTTATTCTTGAAACGTTAGTAGCCCTAAGAATTCGTAACTTTGATTGTGGCCAATGTGTTAAGAATGGACTTAAGAAATTTGTAGGGCTATGAACGTTTCGAGAATAGCTAGCCTGGTCTTCAGTATAAGAGCAAGAGCATCATAACCCACCAGGCAATTCCTTCCATGTCTTATATCCCCATTAAAGCTAAAATACATGAAATTATCATGAAACGGCCCTCCCATTATCAGAAATTTGCGGGCCGCTGCAAATAATATTGGACCGCTCAACCTTAACGACGGGCCACTATCAGTTCTGTTGTCAAGTGACGTCATAGTGGGTGCGTGAGCTTACGGTTCATTCGACATTAATTGGCTTTCGACTGGCAGATATTCTGGGTCAAACAAGTCAAAGCAACCCGAATTCCCGCTATGAATAGCGGTAATATTGGCTTTCTTGTTGGTGCTAACCTTAACAATTGCACTATTAAGGCTGTTGATGGACAAAAAACGAACACTGACATAGTTTGACATGTTGCAGGCTATGGTCTTGTCAAAGGCCAAGGTCGAATATCGTCACTTTCTGTTGTGACGTCACTTGAATTGTTCGATGACATAATTGCATTCGGACAGTCAACCCCGTCAGAAGTTGATTTTGGTAAACTTACAGTCAAATTCCTTCATTGTTTCCTTTTTCCTTTCAACACAAGATCCATGTATTTTAGCAATAATAACGGTAATGCTATTTTTGAGGGCATTATCATTTGCAGAAGCCCTCGGTCTTTTTCAACTGCCTTCCTTCATCGGGCAGTTAATGGAAGACCTTGGGCTTCTGCAAATGATAATGCCCTCAAAAATAGCATTACCCTTACAATACTGATGTATGAACAAAATTACAACACCCACAGAACTAACTATATGCTGACCCGTGAAGATCCGGGTTAGAATTGATCTTCAGTAACCCATGCTTATCGTAAGAGGTGACTCAAGGGATCAGGTGGTCAGGCTCGCTGACTTGGTTGACACATGTCATCGTATCCCAATTGCGTAGATTGATACTGATGCTGTTTATCACTGGATTGTCTGGTCCAGGCCCGATTATTTACAGACTGTTGCTATAAAGCTGGAATATTGCTGAGGGCAGCGTAACACTAAACTCACCAGCTATATGTGAGCATTATGGTTTATTTGTTGTTTAACACTGCACTCAGCTATTTTGTCTGCAAATAACTGAGTCTGGACCAGACCATCCAGTGATCATCATCATGAGCATAGATAACCAAGTCAGCAATCCTGACAGTCCTGTTAGTTGCCTCTTATGACAAGCATAGGTTGCTGAAGACCAATTCTAAGCCGGTTCTACACAGGTCACCATCGTTATGTCATAGTACCACAGAGCTACAGATAACTTTTTGACTCATTGAGTTATGTACTCGCTGGTGTTCCATCTCAATTGGGTATTCAAATTTTCCTTTGACTAATATGACTTGAGTTTTCACATAAATGTTTGCGTAATTTACTCATTAGGCAGCTTATCTGTACCGCTAATACCAGCAAATTTACATATGTACAGTACTGAATTATTGAAACAACAAAATATTAGAATTTATGAAAATGAAATAATTAGTATATTGGCCATACTGTTTTAGTTCTGGTCTCTCATGCAATCTCATTAAAATCAGATCTCAGATCTCACTACCGTTTTTTAAGTGGTAGAGAGAACTAAGATATGATTTTGATGGGATTAGTCTGGCATGTATCTTGTAAGTTTGTTTTGGCTGTTGTAGATAAATGTCTCAATTATTGGAACACACTCCAGTCCTAAAATGGAAGCCTTCAGTGTGTTAAAACATATGTACAAGAGAGTGTACATACACTTGGTGGCATCAAAAACGCAATACCGATTTTTTTTATTACATAGGAAAGTGAATTGATACAATCACACAAGTTTATCCCGTAACTTGGCAACGTGACGGTCAGTGTTCTGAAGTCGAATCCAAATTCTGAAAGATACTGTCCTTGCATAACCATCAAATCACAAAATGAAAAAAATCACCCAAACGCAACAGATTCCTGGATCAGTGCATGTACCGTCCGTAGACGTCTTGCTGGTCACGGTCTACGCTGTCGGCGCCCAAACATCGGACAGATCCTGACGCCACTTCACCGCCACGACAGACTCAACTGGTTCCAGAACAGGGGAAACTTGGGCAACACTCCATGGTGAAATGTCATTTTCTCAGACGAATCAAGATTCAACTTAAGCTTCAACGATGGAAGACGTCAAATCTATCGACGCCAAGGTGAAAGACAGGTGCCAAACTGCATTGCTAAAGTGGACCGATTTGGTGGTGAAGGCCTCCTGGTATGGGGAGCCATAAATGTTAACTTCAGATCACCTTTGTTTGTAATCTGTGCCCTGACTGCCCAGGGGTACATTGACAACGTTATTCGGACAACATTGCTTCCACTGATGGTAGCGGGAAATGGCCACGGTCTGCTCATCTTTCAACACAACAACGCCCGTCCCCATACAAGGGTCACACGGTCTTTCCTAAACAACAACTAGGTCCCTGTGATGAACTGGCCATCTCGATCTCTGGACATGAACCCCATTGAGCATTTGTGGGATGAGCTCGGTCGCAGAGTTCGAGCCCTTCCAAACCCACCCAAGACCATTGCAGAACTAACAGCAGCTCTCAAACAACAGTGGCAAGTTATTCCACAGAGGTTCCATGCTCGTCTGTGCTCATCTATGCGCAGCAGAGTGCGGGCTCTCATCAGGACTCAAGGCGGACACACAGAATACTGAAAATCTGTGACCCCCTGCTTGTTTGCAGTGATATGATGTCACAAACACACTTAACTTCTGTACCATTTGCATTTTGTTTTGTTCACAAAGGATAACTTTATCGTTTTACATATCATCCGCTGTGTTTAATATTGGGTTGTATTAAATATCTTTGTTTGAAATTAGTAGTGCGTTGTTATGCCGCCAAGTATACTTATACAAGAAATCGCCCACATTTCTTATTAAACTGACCGCCTCCGTGGTGTAGTGGTTAGAGCGTCCGCCCGGAGAGCGGAAGGTCGCGGGTTCGATCCCCGACTGCGTCATACCAAAAGACGTTAAAATATGGTACTTGTTGGTCCCTGCCTGGCGCTCGGCATTAATGGGTACAAGAAGAACTGGTGGGCTCGGAGTCAGTATAATGTGTCTGAGTGGGGTATTCATGCTTCACTGCGGCATGGTATCTCAGTGGGCTAGCACTATAAAACCAGCTTCAGTCTGGGCTAGTACAAGCAGCCGCACATACACATACACACACATGCACGTAGTCATATGAGCGAAATATTCTCAAGCACGACGTTAAACCAAATTTCACCTCACCTCACCTCTTATTAAACTGATGGATTTCCAAAAGTATGACAGGAACAAAACCCAATAAATCATTTGGACTATAGCCAACATGGAGAGTTGCTGACAGGAATTCTTCCAATGTTATATATTTATGTTATGAGATATGAATACAGTGGTGGTAATCTTCCTAGCATAGAACATTGTGGAGTGCTTATGATATATGATCACAGCTATGATTCATAGCTGTACACAAATGAAAATATATTTCGTAAGACCAATGTATACTGCGAGGCTGAAACATACATAGGCTCCAACTGTTGTACACTTACATATTGCTGTGATGAAGCTGATCATAGACTGATATCTTGAATGATAATGTAGCCTGTTATCACAACTAATCTCACCTGGCAACAAAGTATTGTTTGAAAACTGATGAACATCATTTGACGTACCTCTATGTACTTTTGTGTAGAGTTTGAAAACTAGAACACCAAACAAAACAGCTGAAATAGACCAAAGATGGTAGATATCCTGCAATGAAATGAAATATGTTACTATGAACGTCAGTATATAACTGATAAACTCTCACCAAAGAAATGGTAGCCTCTTATGATCTTAGCATGCTAAAGGCTAACGCTTTATAACATGCATGTAAGCTCTGCCTTAACAACTCTTGTTAGAATGATTAAATATACGATATATACTACTAAATATCATGTTGGACAAAAATCAATTGAGTAATAGTAAGTTCTACGTCCGGATATCCTTCCGAGCAATGAAGCTGCAGTCCAAATGTCAGAATTCAGAAGCTGGTCGGTGAGCTATTTAACATATCCACATAATACAGAGGATACGGGCGAAAAAGACATATTCATATACTCCACAGAAAGACCCATGAAATTAATCCAAAGAATGGGAATAACCTTTGAGTGTAGATCGACGCATAATGCAAATATGACAGAAATAATTAAAGCTATCCAGAGGTTCAAAGTTTTGATTTTCCGGTGCTCAATGATGAATTCACTTCCGAGGTCACCATAGTTTTTATGGCACATTGTGTTCGATCGCTCCATTGTTCGTGTGATAGAAAGGGTCTGTAGTCTAGAAGTAGTCCATATTCTCACAGCAAGAGTGTGACAGTCATGAAGTGCTTGAAGTTGAACGTAACGATTAGAGTGGCCTCCCTTGCACCAAAAAAAATATTAGTTCAATCGGAACCTTCGTATGAATGGTCAGACACATCTCTGTATTCTTCAGGCGCGTACTTAGTCATATGACGTCGTTTGCAGATCATAATAGTGATGTTGACATTTGATATCACAAACAGCCACTTTTTCTGAAGATATTTATACACGCATGACGTTCTTCCTTATTTTTTATTGACATATATAGCATTAAAACATAATATCATAACAATATCAATAACATCCTCAGCTATGGACCTGGCAGACTTAAACAGGTCTTGTGTTGCAGCCTTCTTCACCTATAACAACAAGGTTAATTGATCTAATTAAGAATCAGTTAGATGTTTGCCTGGCACTCTGTCTTCTGTGGACTTGGTCTCGGCATCAGTTGCCTTACATAAATCAAAGTAGTCTTCACGAGTCATCCCTGTGACACATCCCGTGTATGTCCATGCCTGACATTGATCAAACTCTAAGGCGTTTTGCCTCCTTCTTACAGTCTTGGAACACTGAATACTATACAGATTAGCCATGACACAGAGTTAAGACACTTAACAACGAAAACAGTTGAGTCACATGTTCAATTTCCATTTAAAATAACAACAACATACTAAACACTATTTTATTATGTAATTTATTAAATATATATTATTCGGCCCTTTTTTGGGGGCTTTTACTTTTGATTTCGGCCCATTTGACTTTTGGCCTCTGCCCATTTGACTTTCTATTCGGCCCTTTTGTCCTTCGGCCCAGCTAACTACAACCCATGCAAGTAGACCTACAGAGCGATAAAAATGACTTCGTTATATTTCACTTAATGTAATGTATCAAGCAATGACTACATGTATGCACGTGAAAATTGCTGGAAACAGCTAATTTGCCCCATCTTCAGTTTAACCATCAAGAATTTCAGCAGACTATCATAACAATGGCACTACCAGGGTTCAGCTACATTGTATACATATCGTGATTATCTAGATAGGGAATTAACACTTACCTACCCCGAGTCCTCCAGACGAGTGAGTTGAAGGAATGATATTTTGGGCTGCTGTCATCAATATATAAGCTTTGTGTGTCGGGTAGAAACAGTACCCAAACAGAGTATACAATGTCCTAGATATATCTGATCTGATACAGGAGTTAACATTTGTTTTACACAACATTCCGCATTATTCAGTGTGTTTGTCTCGGTTCTTTAGGCAAGCAAAGGATTCTGCGCTAGACTTACGAAAATCTCTAAGCAGCACCTGAGAATACTGACGGAAAGAAATATGAAAACTTGTGTTTGACATACAATTCCGAACGTAATTCGAATACAGACTATTGCTTTAGACGATGAACACAAGTCTCTAAGGTAAAAATTAATAGTTTAAATGATAATTTCTAAAATATTATAAATAACAGATGGCGTCCTTTTTGTATACTGTCTCTTGTCTAGACTTGCCTCTTTGGAGGATAGATTTACTATCCATCCATGGGCTCAGCATTCAGTACAGTCTTGGGACAAGGCTACTGATCATGTCGATACAATAATGCTAATGTGTCGTTTTATTTTCTTATTCGCAATTGTAAGTATGTGGTTAGTTATATATCCCCATCTGAAGTAGAATATATACCTAGCACTCATCTGTGGTGCGTTACCGATTATCGCGTCTAGTGTGTATCGGAAGGCGCTTCAAAGCACCCACAACCTGGACATTATCTACACTCGATAAAATTTATGCCCAATGCCCAGAAAATTGCCCGTAATAAAAGGTGACAGCACGTTCGTCCGATATCACGCCTCATGCGATATAGAGGAATTTGTGTTGGTAACATTTACATGCATATATATGCAGTGGATTGTCCAGTTCACTGGCCATGTCAAATTAGGTCTATATGCGGTGGTGATCAGATGTGTGCATTCATTTCCTCATTTCATTATTTACCTCACCTACAGTGCACAGTGGGAGCTCGACACAATACAGAGGAACACACTACCTTTCATTATTTTGTTGTTTCTGATAGAATCCCTTGCAATGCGTTTTGCTGGGGGTCCCTCCGCACGTGCTTCCGTGCAAATTCGTCTTTTCCGGAGCAGAACTTTAAAAACATTTATTATTTCTTCACCAAACCTGGCACATAGATAGGTATGATTGTGAACTGGTGCCTTTTGGTAGTATTGGATTTATTGAATATAATATTTTTTTGCGTTTCCATGGTAAAACGTTTGACTTCGACTGGAATTGGTGTTAGCGCTCTTTTCCGGTGCAGAACTGAAAAACCATTCAATGTTTCTTCCTCGGATTTTTGTTGTTGTTGTTGATAGTTTGGGATGTCTGAATAAAATGATTTTTGCATTTCCATATCAACAGGTTTTACTTTTACTGAAAATAGTGATAGTGCTCCTTAGACCTTTCAATACTCTCCTTCCATTTTGTGGGTATTCAAGAACCTAATGCATCATTCTATCAAATGGATTTGGATGTGTATATTCATAAATGGCATTTTACCATTGCGGGGGATATTGATGGTTTTGTCTTCTTGAGGTATAACAAAATTGGGTGTCAACATTTGTCATTTCGGCTCCTTTCGGAATGTTACGGACTTAACCGATATACTCCGAGTGACAGTAAACATGGCTGCTTTCATGCGGCACATGCACACTGTTATCGCCAAACAATCGCCGAAGCTTGTACGTTCTTATACGTCAATGGTTTGCTTCTCAAGACGACATGCAAAGTCTCTCAATGCTCCGGCACAATTCAATTATGTCAGGTACACATGCGCTTAGTCGGCACAGATAACTAATGGACGGAGATGAAATTTGACATTAACATCATTTGCAACTCTGTTATTACCAAGTCCTTAAAAAAACCAAAAGACTAATACACATCCCCACCCACCCCCATCCACCATATATATATATCGTGTTCTGCCTATTCCAGGAGTGATCTCATTCATCACAAGCTGATATATTACAGGGCTGGGAAGATACGACTATGTCACGATACGATATATCGCGATATTTTACCTGCGATACGATACGTATCATGATACATACGCCTTGAAAGAATGACACGGTATCAAGATTTAAAATGATTTATTTCAAGGTATTTGTGTTTGACAATAACATTATTGTAATAAACAAACAAGTAACTCAAACATACTTGCATATTTTTCTCTAAATATGTACTGTAACATGTTTAAGATAATACTGTTTTGAAAAAATGTTGTGTATTGTTTTGTATCGATACACGAGTCAACGATACAATAGCTGTAACAAACTTAAATGTATCGCGATGCATCGATACATCGGTGAATCATCCCAGCCCTAATATATAAATACTTTTGTTGAAGGGGTTGTTGCCATTACTGGTACAACAGATATGTACCCAAGGTACCCTAGCCAAACTCTAGTTACCCTTGGACACGTCCATTCAGCATAATGTACTGTTTCTTGACCGGAACTGTTGTACTGTTGTATAAGATGCATATGATTGCGTTATATAACAAACAAGCATACACAATAAGGAATATTTCGCGATGTACAAATTACCAGTCGCAATCAGTTGAACGGGAACAACTACATGCGGTTTCGATTTTGGGTTGCGAATTATGGACCCGTCTCCCATTAAGGGTACTGTTTATGGTACATTTGTGTATTGTGACTTTGTTTAGAGTATGTTGCTGACAATGGCCCCTTCAGCAATACTTTCCTACTGATGATGACTAAATGCTCACTATATAGTTGTAACTTGTGTGGGCCAAAAAACATTTTGCACCTTGGTATCTTTTTGCTCATTGCATGCATTTATCATATACAAGCAGATTAAGATAAAAATGTTATACAAATTACAGTGCCATCTGGCATTCCTTATTTTCATGTTTGATGCCTTTTTGTGTGCATTAATGCTCTTAGTACACATTGTTCTTTCTCTTTTCTTTCTCAAACATTGCATACTGATGATCTTTATTTCAAGAGATGTCTCTTTCAACGAGTGACAAGTGAGTTTGTTTCCACACCGCTTTTAACAATATACCAGCAATATTATGGTGGGAGACACCAGAAATGGTCTCTTTAACCAAGTGGCTGCCCATATTAATCAGTAATTACTGTCCAAAGTTAATCTACAAAAAGAAAGGAAAAAGATAGATCTGGTTTTAGAGTGAAACAGAATGTTTTGTTACAGACATATTACAGTCAGGGCAACGGAACATTCATCTTTTCCTCAGTGTAACCATGGTGAGGAAGATGTTGCAACGGCAGCAGAACATGTCAGAAAAAGCATCAAAATGCTGCCAGGGTTACATGAAAGTCAGGTCCAAAATTTTCGCCATCTGGTGGAAAATACAGGTATGAGATTCATCTGTGCTTACTGAATTATAACAAAGAAGAATATATTTGTGTAGGTTGAGAGGTTGTATGAATGGTTGCAGAAGGTATGGCCAGTCCTCCTTTTAAATACAGGTAGCTACCAACACTGAGTCACCGGTCAGCTGGGCGACCCTTTTACTGTTTGATGAATGAATTTCCTGTTGTTGTTTATTAAACTCCTGCAATAATTTCTTGGTTTATGGTATTCGATACATGCTATCCTTTGTTTGTTTCATGCTGAACTCAGCAATATTCCTGTTATGTGGCCAGGGGGTGTAAATAATGTGGTCTGGACCCAATAATCTAGTGATTGACATCATGAGCATGCATCTATGCAGTTGGTATATGATGACATGCTTCAAACAGGTCAGAGAGCATTATCACTTGATCCCTATAGATTCACGTAATTTTCTTTCCATCAGATTGTAGTCAAACCAGTATTGATTTCATGTAAAGACTGAAAACACAAGACAAAAACTGAATATTTTTTGTTAGATGTAGTATCAACAAATGCAAGAATGACAAAAGATGAAGGGTATCCACTCTCAACTGGTAGTTAACCCGTCGTGATGCCAGGGAAGAAGACGTTACTGCCACAAGTGCCCTCTGGTTTTGCCTTTACTGAAGTATGGCATGAAT